TTTCAACATTTTTACTACGAATTGTATTAACATGCACAGGTATGCATGGGCGTAGTCCTAAATCCCACACGAACACTTGGGTTTAAGGTACGTTTCAGTTTTCTGGTATTTCTTTCTCAAAATGAGAGAAATTTAATATCACGATTTTCTTGTTTTTCCTGCTTAGCAACTTTTTGCTAACTTCTCTCGTATTAGTCAACCCGCATGGTTCGAATAATTCAATGCAGAACAGTTGCTTTTAAGTCACTAAAACAAAGTTAACACCTTCGTTTTCTTGCACAATAAAATTTCTTTGTAAATTTTTGCCTAATAACATAGGATTCATACAACGTGAGGACATCATGTAAAAATTGATGTTTTTTGAGTAATTTAACACTCGAAAAGTTTCGTAACGCGAATCGTGAAAACATTAATGATTGCGTCATGCAGTTAAATTATTCTTTACATCTATTCACTTTCAACGTGGTGTCCCGCATTAAATAATCATACATTGACGTACTTTCAGAAAATTGTTAGAATGAATTTTAGTGAACTGCACAAATGTCTGCGAGGATATATATGTATATTCCTCAATATGTTAAAAGTACTGATACGTATTCCGTAAGTCTATGACCTATCTATAAAGCACGCTGCGCCGAAACTTATGTCACATGCTTCAATGTTCGTTGACTTGAATATTTTCAAGAATTAGTTTATCAACAATTGTAGATGGATGGATTATGTGCTGTAATGATTTTCATTGAAATGTATACGTTCATTGAAATCTATTTGTTATTTTTATTGGGATTGTGTAAATAAACACATCATAAATAAAATATAAATTATTCCATTATTTAAATTTTAACGCAATTATGGCGAATGTTAAATCTGCTGCAGGTGTGCAGAACCGTATTTCAATCTAAAGTACTAACTGAGTTTGTAAATTTTCTAAATTGTCACGTAGACTGACATAAATTTTTAATTTTTTTTCTGAGGGACATTTGTCGTTTTATAAAACATAAACATTTTGTTTACTACCCTGCATTTTATATTTTTATTTTATTGGTTGTAACATGTAATTAACATTCTTGGTTAACATTGACACTGCAACGCGAGTCTGCATTTAAATTTGATTGTTCTCTTACGATCTATAAAGATTTACGCAACTCAATTTCCCAACAGTTTAAACCGTAAACGATTAAAATCATAATGTGAATTTTCTAACATGAGAGTTAACTATCCTTTAAAACATGCATTTCATGCATTACTTACAATAACCATAAAATAGAAATGTGCCATGTAATGTATTACGAATCATCTTTTTCGCAAATTTAAATTAAATACGTAAATGTAGATGAAAATTTTTCGTGTCGTATTTTTGTCACAACTGTCGCAGGTGGTATTACTTATCCTGACGTATGGTATTCGCTGATTTCCCGGGTATCATTAGCGACAATTCTTAGCGGCGACATTACGGATCATTACCCTATTTAAAGAAATTATACCTACATTATTACACTAAATGGAGGATAAAGTTCTGGCATATTTCCTACGTATCTTTCAAAATTCAGCCGGGGACAAATTATGTCAAAAAATGCCGTTTTGAAGTTAGTAGATTATAAATTCGAATATCCTATTCCGGGATAATCAAATTATATTCCACGCAAAATTATTAAAAAGCAATCATAAATTAAATCAAATAACTTGATAAAATGTATAGTTAATAGAGCAGTAAATGATATAGCTATAAACTCTTTAAAATTGGCATGTGCGGACAGAAGAATATACGTATGAATGACGTGGTATTAATTTGTATACTTTATTCCATGATTGTGGCTCAACTTTTAAACTGAGATAAATACGCGAGAAGATTTCGTTGTGAATTTCTGTAGAAAGGTTCTGTAGTCAGCAAGACTTGAGAGTGAACTGGGAATAATGTTGAAATAATATCAAATAGTTGAGTTTCAAAAACAGGAAAGTGGCAATATTTGTTTCGCGTGTATGGTATCAAGGTATTTTATAAATATAATTATTAATAATTACATATAAACCATTGAAGGTAAAACATTTTGGTTGAGCTGGACTAGCTGCATGACTGTGTCTGTTCCGATTCACTATATGTATTGATGCGTCAAAATTATTACGAAATTTTCATTGATTGGATGTAAAATATTAACTTTTCTTCTTAGAACCGCTTCCTCGAGAGAATAATTGATTGAATAATTGCTCACTGGTCGTATACTATATTATCTTCATCCCTCTGATTTATCACACGCTTCTCTTCTTTATAATGTTCTTAGAAAACTAATTCACTCCAAATCAGAAACACAGAACCACGCATTTCAATACATGGCCAATAGATAACCAATTCTTGAAATAGGATTCAAGTTTGATTTATACTTGATTTCACTTGAAAATGAAGACGTATTGACGCAACTTTATGACGTATATGTCGTCACTTCTGCGTGAAAGTGGTTGATCGGATTACAAAAGTAATCCTTTCGTTGTGTAACTATCGATCACTTGTAACAACCTTTATACTGCTGGGAAATTAATGAGGACTGACAGGTGATTCAACGTCGATTCATCTCCGTAAAAATTATTGAGGAATTTTTAAGGAATGTGACGCAGTTTCATTCGGAAATATTTATAGTTATTGATTCGTCACAATTCTCAATTCATAACACCACTGTTTTATTACTCGATGTACACACTTTCAATAAATTTTAAAATCTACTCATACAATAATTGTATAATATAATATCAAGCATTAGATAGGTTTGTTATTTTATTGATCGAATTTGTTACTTTGGGACTTTTTAAAAAATATGACACAATTTATTTTCATCACGAAGGAGAAATAAATCATCTGAAAATGAAATAAGTCACTTTAAAACATTTTGGTCAAAACCAGAAAATCTGAACAAAACTCAAATTTTTACGTAAGAAATAATTCCATTTTTCAGGTGATGAAATAATCTTTAAACTCTCGTAAAAGTTCAGCGAAACTACCGGTTTAACTAGAATAAAAATAAATGTTGAGCCCACGCGCTCAGTGCGTGATTGGTATGATTTTATTCAAAAGCAACGAATTCACGGATTTCAATTTGCGTGGACCTGATGATTAGCAATGTCGTAGCCGTTCACATCTTACTTCTTATAGAAGCCGACGGCACCTACTTCTTCTTTTTTTCTTTCAATCGTCGCCTGTCTCTCACTCAATTGTCATTTATGTTGTAAAGAGCGATGCGAATGCAGTTCGGCGTAAGTCTTTTTCTCTTTATTGTCGGAGTCAGTGACTTGTTATTAAGAAGTGTATACAGTATATTGTTCAAATAGGAAAATTATTAAATGGATATTTTGAGGATTTCTCGGCAATGTCAATTTATCTCAATTATATTTCATATGTCTTTCCAATCGTTCGCTTTATTATGTGTCACCAGGTTCTAGTATTCGTTTTTATGAAAATTATTAATACCAAATAACTAATTTGGAATGCATATTGTTTGAACATGTGCAGCAATATTTTATATTTTTGTGACTGTTATTCATAAAATTTTCAGCTTGAGATATCAGTTAATGACTTTAGAAGTCTAGTCGATTAGAAATACATATACAACGTTTAGCATTTTATGATCATCTATTTGTAATTTAATGATATGGGATAAGAATTGGAAAGTGCATGATGTCTCGGCATGTAAGATTGTAAAACTATACAACTCTACATTCGCTAATTCCGCGTTACCTTAGTTAGTTGTTATTTAGCAGTAGCAAGGTGCCACATGCAATATTCCTTACAGAATGAGAGTTGCATGTTTTAATATCCTACAGTGTTTATTGTCGGCAGGCGAAGGGACCAGTAATATATATAAATATCTATATAAATATCAAAAATACTGCTTGTTTGGAAAAGAATCTCCAATCATATAAGTTACATACCAAATATTAGTTACTATGAATTGGTTATTATTTTCTGAAACGCGTTTAACTATTTAAAACAAACAATCTGTTCCATTCATGCATTGCTTAAGATCAGATGATATTGCAAGAAACTCTATATGTCTGTGCAATAATAAACATCGAGTATTAAAGCAAATATCATTGCCTTCGGCTGTGGATTTAATACTGATTCCAGATAAGCCGTGTTTGACATATAAAGCATTCATTCCACAATACGTTTAGACAGCAATGTTCCATTTCGTATTCAGTCACAGATTTAAAACAAAAGATAACATGTGTAATATTGTACTTATTGAATCGCATAGAGTGGATTAGATTGTGTTATTGAAATGTATTGAAAAATACGTTACGATTAGAACTCCAGAGCAGTAACAATATTTTATCAGATACCAACTTCAAGATAGATAATTATTTTTTATTTTTCCTCAACGGGTACAAATAAAAATCTGATGTGATGACATAGACAACTGATTTTCAATTTTCCTAACAAAGTTATTTGAGTATTATTATAGGAGAAGTGAATTCGTGCATCACTCAAAAGTTAAATTCCCCCCATTTATGAAGGTTATACTTTGCATGTTATTCATTTCCTATATAATCGGATTTTTATTACCTGAATTTCGCTAGTATGAAAACAGAACGCGGGAAATTTCTTTATATCATTTAAAATGAACTCGAGTTGACATGGAAATATTGAGTTCATCTTGCAAACATTGAAAATTATATATTTTGTTGTTGAAATGTTGTTATGAATTTCCATTTTATAATTGACGTACTAGTATGAGAAATAGATCGATATTTTTGCCGACGATCACTCTCTTACACAAGTGTAGTTCAAACTTTTCTAAATTATTCTAGTTCATGCACCGATAACTTATAAATGTAATCCTTATAACATTTATGCAAATCCCAAATTTGAACGGGACAAAATCCATAGTATTGATGTTGTATAGATCAATGAAGCTTTTAATTTTCCAATTAAAAGCCTAGCTTCGTTTGACGTTTACATCGACTTTTGCAAGCTCCTCATTAATAGCTATATCGACTTTTACATTTTACAGAATATAATCTGCGAAAGACTGTGAAGAACAGTCGCAATCAATATACAAGTCACGTATTTAAGTACACTGAAGCTCAATAAAGCCTGCTTGTACTACGACGACTGGAGATTTGAGAAATTACTGCTCAGAAATTTACTTTGGATCTACATGAATAATAAACTAAAGAATATTTTTACAACGCACCGTTTGAGATTGAATATATGTTGTTGGTATTGAAACAGAATTTCAAAATTGTTCTGAAACATTGAACAATTTGAAATTGGTAATAGTATACACCTAGTGTTTAGCTGATTTGAGATGAAACCACCAAAATCTATTCGAAACATTGTTAATACTTTACTTGGGAAAAAGAGTAAATCAACAACAAATGCATCTGAGTCACCGCACAATGATTTGTCATCAGCTGTGCTAGACAAAAGCGGAAGACATCACAGAAGTGCGGACGATCTTTTAGATGAAATATCAATCAACTCTAACTCAAATCGGCATTAATTGTGTCCCACGATGGAAGGTCAAAAAGCTTACCTCGTAGATCTCAGTCTTGTTTAAGCGTACGGCCTTCAATTTCCCGACAGTCAGAATCGATTTATGGTAGACATGTTGTCAGTGGTCTCGATGAAACAGCTCCAAGCAATATTATATCAGAAAGATCGGGCTCACGTAAAAATGTCAACTACAGGACGCGTTCAGTTTCAAGTCTTCCAAGGCCTGCGTCAAGTCATTCTAGAATCAACTTTTCAAGAAACTCAAAAACAGGCCAAGACTATCGATTTGAAGAGAGAGATGAAGGATTTGAAGATTTAATGCCACGAACAACGTCTTGGAGTCATCCTTCTGCAGAAAGCGATAGATCTTATTCCTTCAATTTTCACGAGGGATCACGTGATTCGAAAGATTATCATAGACGTTCTCGAACTGATTCTGTTGGATCTCATGTTTGGACACAAGGAGGGAAGCGCAATAGCTCAGCAGGGAATAAAGGTATATTTTCCTCCCATGAAAATTTGGTCAGTGATGGCAACCAAATCTCGCGTCTCAGTTCATCTACCTCTTCACGAGGAACTTTGAAGAATAGTGATGCTACTGAAGAAAAATTAAGGACTTGTTTACAAGTTTTAGATAGGTTGTCTGCGCAAGTAAAGGAGATTAAAGACGTATCAAATAGAGTCAACTATGTGGATAATAAAGTAAAAAATGGACAAATGCAGCGGTATGAGAGAGAGGTGAGGCGATTTTGTTTGCTATTTTTGTATTTGAATAACAAACACATTTTTACCTGAGTTTTTTTTTTAATATATTGAATTTCTCATCCAAATTGAATCATATTTTGGTACATGTTTACAAACGAAAAGTATAAATGAATGTAGAAAAAACAGTAGGTCTATTTTGCAATTTATTATTTAATTTTAACTCCGACTTTTTTGGTATACCACCCATTTTAATCTTGTATTCGTGTGTTCTTTTCAGCGTCGGATCAGAGAATTGGACATAGCAGAAGCAGCTTCTCGACGCCTCAAGAGCCTTTTAAAATCAGAATCGAACGAAATTCCGTCAACTCGTCTAAGCAGCCGCAGCAGTGGATACGACAGTGAAAACAGTAGTAACAGCAGTCGGCTGAGTAGTACTTCTCCGGATCAGGAAGGATTCAGATCAACCAGGCCGGAGAACAAAAGACCTGGAGATAGTAGGAGAAATGGCCCCAAAACAAATCACCATCTATCTCAACCTTACCCACAATCGTTATCTGACATGATGCCTCTGTGGGACGCAAAAGATGAAACTTCCAGATCATGCGAGTTTACGACCAGAAGGATAACTCGTGAAGACAGCATGAGTAGTGGATATGCGACTGGCAGCGGAAGTGAAGACGGCAAACCCGAGTTAGATAGTATGCAATCGGGTTACACAATGCATGGCAACAATCAGTCTTTGCGTTACAATCAGTTACCAATGCAAAATTGGCATCAACAAAAACAACTGGAGGGTTACGATCAACGGCATTCATCTTATGATCCCTACTCCGTGTATGGTACCTACCCGCACCACTCTGTCGGAAATGTAACTGGTATCCAAGACGACGTTTACGGCACTTATGGAGAATTATATGGATACGCACCGTCTAGCGTTTACGACCACGAAGTATACAGCAACGGTTGGTTTCAGATATCAAATACACCTCAGTCTTCTGGTGCCAGTATGTACAATAATCAACATCCAACATCTCAAGGCATGCCTGCTGCAAACGCGTTCGATCAGAATTGGTCTCAAATGTCTTACGCAACGCAACCGGTGAGTGCAAAATACGGGGGTCTCTCTCATATATTCTATGATCCTACGGTTCAATCTGAAGTCAGTATCATAGAGAGCATTGCGAAGGAAGTTGCCAGCGATTCAAATAAGATGGAATCAGAAGACAGCACATGGAAATCGTATGGATCTTTCAGGTACCGAAATGGACAGATGACGGTGACAGCATCGGGAAACACAAACAGAAAAAGGAAAACAGTACGGTTTTCACAAACAGTAAGACAGCGAGTTGAAACGGAAGAAAGCGAAGTTGAAGATAGTACATCTGTTATCAAAGGTGGAGCGGATGAAACACCAAATGCTGCAAAAAACGGAGACGAATCGCAGGATCTGACAGAAAACTCTGAAATCTATATGTGGCCAAGACAGCCGCCTGTAAAAATGGAGGAAGTCTGCCAAGAAAATAAAGCCCAACAAAAGACAGTACATGAACCTATATATGAATTTCCATCTGGTCACATTGAAAGTTCTTGTATGTGTTCTGATTGTATTTTAGCGAGGGGTAGCTGTCAAATGCAACCGGCTCAAACTGTAGCATATTTCTGATATTAGGGTAATTGAAATTAGAAACCAAGGTATTATCAAAGTTTAAATTATTGTAAACCAAAAACTTTTTTATTGTAGAATTTTCTTACAAAATCGAAATGTAAATACACATCAGCATGTTTATGCATTTAAATCTTCATGCTAAATATAAATTATAAACCGCGTCAAATCGATAATTTAACTTTGAAAGTTTTATATATTCTTATAGAAATGCTTAATTCATTGGGATTCATGAATTTTAGCGCATGTGGTATACATTATTTTACCAAATAATATAAATGATATAACGCGTCACGTTACACCCCAGACGTTACAGTGACGTCACAAGTTGCCAGGTAATATTCGTTGTGCATACGTTGTTGCGCCATTTGATTTGATTTTGCAGAGCATTTTTTCAAAAGATAATTTAGCATCACCTATAAACTAGACCTTGTATGTTTCATACCCAAGCATGAGTTAAAGGTACTTTAGCAAACATGAAGCTTTACATTTTTGCACTTTTCTGATGATATTATAAACAAACAAATGTATTTTTGACTATAAGTCTAAAAATTATACATCTCTTGATAATTCGACTTTGCACAATGCTAGATGTCCTCACAGTGGTAGTAAATTTAGTTCGTTTCTGTTTTGTTTCGTTACGTATAAACCACAAATATGGCATTGCTGTTTATAATTACCGAGCATGGTAGTTGGAAATTGAATTTGTATTTCTATCAATTCTAACGGAAACAATAAAATTGTCGTAAACTCACAATGAAGTATTATGACATACACACGGAAACATGCTAGTGTTTTTATTTCGGGGTTATTCCAGGATTATTTAATTTATCAGGGTTGTGTATCATTCAATGTGATTGGTAAATAACCATTGTTATGTAACCGAACCAGCTGAGAATAACGAACTCAAATGGATTAGGATTCCTGGGTAACACAAGTCCACATTGGAAATTTACAAGAGTTATCAAACTGCTCTTTAATCGTCACAGTGGCAACACACGTTTTATTGTCAGTTTGTGCAGCGTCCTGCTTCGAGTGGCGGTGTTGAAACCTCTTAAAAAGTATAAAATAATATAACGTTGTTTGAGCTTAAGTTGGATAAGGTGTTCTTGACGAATAGTTGTTCTACCGCATCGAGTTGCGCAAATAGCCCCGAGCAGTAAAGTTTGCAGCGTAATAGCGTGAAAAGTGTCGTTAAAAAGATAATGTAAAGTAATGGCCTGTAAAGTGACGCTGGAAAAGTTAGAGTTCGATAATCGCACAATTTACAACATTGCTGGTCATATCGTTCATATTCAAGTAAATTCATAAAAGGTGTTCTGAACAAAATATTACCGTGTAATAAAGACAATTTATTATCAATGGTTATTACTGTTATCATCAAATAGCACCATTAGCACCGAAAAACGTATAAATTATTTGTTGACGATGGGGACCTCTTGTGGGCAAACTTGTGGGACGCATACGGCGCGCGACGAAGGGTTGAGAGGCCCGCGAAAGCCTCCATCAAATGCTTATGAAAACAGAATAAAACTCGGTAAAATCTAACGACTGCAATTTTGTAAAGATTGGTATTTTGACTAGATTTGGACCAATAGTATTTATAACTCTTCCATATTCCGCCAAACATGTTGACAGGCTCATAAGTTAGAATAGAACTGAATTGAATAGAACTTTAGAAAGTTCTAAATATCTTCACTTAACTAATTAAACAAATCTTTTAAAATTGTACCAAAATCACTTTTTCTGAGATACTTATAGGCTATATGCTATATGTACTGATCAAGTTTCGCTATTAAATGTAGCAATATCTCGGAGTACACCGGTTTTATTTTGAACCATAGAATTTTTAGCACGTGCTTTCCAATCATGGTATCAGGGGCCGTAATCCAACCGCAACTTAATAATAAAACATTCCAAAAAAATGAAGTCGCGAGTCGTTTCAACAAGTCTAGGTCTTGTACATAGTGTGGTAAGAGTGCCTATCTCTGCTTACTCACTAACTTGCCAATACGACAAAAATTCTGCATGGAAAAATTTCCTCGGGGGCTAGCATCAAGAAATGTAGGTTTATCAGCTCGTGACCACTAGCTTTATAGCAAACTGCAAATATTGGTGCCCTCGATATTAGTTTGGCGCGACTGCAATTAAGGATACGGCTTATTATTAGCAGGACAAGCACCCAGGCAATATTGTGTTCTTAAATCTAAACCTTGCTTATTGCACAGATATGAATTTTTGCGGAAATTTCCCTGAGCCGGGTTATCCGGTCTAATCTATGCATACTGGCTTACCAGAAAGCATGGTGTCCGCCTGAATTAGTTCGACAGCATATCGAGAGATAGTGATATCCAGTAGCAAATGCCTAATACCATGGCCTGGAAATTGTTTGGGAGTATCAATATTTGCCACCACAAAGGTGTTTTAGTTCAAATTTTTTGAACAACGATGACTATAACCAAGTCAGCAAGCCCAATCACTATGGTTTGTTTATGCTTACCTATGTTCAGTTGCAGGAGAAATAAAAGTGGCTTGACAATCAATTGTGAGAGTACAGTTGCAGAACAAATACCATTGACCTGACCATTAGTAGTAAGTAGCAATCTTAGCAGGGATTTCACGAACACGATGACTGAAACCAGCATGCAGGCTCAGCTCACAAATTCGTTTGCGTAGCAGATGACACAAACAGGTGGCGCTACTTACTATATAACAGTAGTGAGGATAAACTTTCGGATCGAAATTAAAATGTACATCCCCTAGGTCAGGGGTTCTCAACCTGGGGTTCGCGAACCCTGAGGGGTTCACGCGAAGATTTCTAGGGGTATTTGGATGACAGTCGATTTTTTGTATGTTGCTGTTTTTTTTAATATCCTTTATTACTACCATGGAAAAATGCGTATCCATTGAAACTAGACGCCAATGGAGACGTAGATTATCCCTGATCTTGCGTTGTTGTGATTATGACGCAACAATGTGAAATTCAAGGCTTTGCGTACAAACTGTGAAATTTGACAGAAAAAAAGGTTGAGAACCCCTGCGCTAGGTGCTGAGTTATACCTAAGCCTTAAATCAAGTCATAAAGATCATGTATCAGAAAACCGCAATATTTGCGGTAATTTTATTGTATTGTCTAGTGCAGAATAAGATGAGAATCAAGGATCGAGGAGGATCAATAGCTATAGAGGACTTGCACGGGTCACGTGACCTTGTTTGCTGGACGGCAATAAAACAAAAACGTCCATTTGGCTCCTGTCAGTTGCAAGTCGGATCATACGTTTCCGTTTTGTTTGGCTGTTGAAAATGGTTATTTCATATTGTTCCGCTGGCTGTACGTATAGTATAGACAACGAAATAGATCTTCAGTTATATTCCACTGTTTTCAAAAGATCCGGAACGTCGCGCAATGTGGATATCATCCATTGGCAGGACTGCTATGTGTCAAGTCCAGAAGCCATCTCACTTGTGTTTCACTGTTTGCGGACACCACTTCGTTGATGGTGAGTCATGATGTGCTGTTATCAATTTTTTTTTAAATATTCATAAGCTTCCTCATTTCAATGGAAAGCAGATGACAGACTACTCTTATTGGTAGGCCTACTTGCAGACTTGACTCGTGTAAGGTATTAATCAATAATTGCCATAAGGTATTGTTTCGCTAGTTATCAGGTAATTTATTAGTAAGTGTGAAAAGTTGAATAGATAAATAAAGTTTGAATTCTCCATCTAAGAATACGCTCGCCACCGCATGTCTGATCCCCCTGGTAGTTTCACAGGTTTCAATCCCATGCGGGAATAGTTATGTGCGAGGGGATTGCATCTCTCCTCCTACTGAGGGTGGTTCACACGACCGCTGGTCGATTACGACATCCCCCACCATCAAGTCCATGCTTCTAAAACAAATAACTGGCTAACTAATCCCGACATAGAATGGTAACCGTACGATGTTGCACTTTGCAATCTGTCCCCAACCACAGATAAATTCTATTCTGAAAACTACCCACATTGGTAGGCATAGTTAATTTGCGTTTTAAATTGAAAGTAATCTTCATTAATGGTCAGAAGGTGTTGTCTGATTGTTTTATTAGTTAGCAGGTAATTTATTACTGATCTGAAACACAAACTTGGCACTGTCAAATGATGATTAGTGTTTAATTTATTTTCAGGAAAAAGGGAAGATAACCCATTATCAGCTGCTTATATGTCCCATCGATATTTGAATTTTCGCCATCTCCAGAGAGGAAGAGAATAGTTAGAAAAAGGGGGATTTTGAAGAAAGGCAAAAGGCAGGACCATTTCAACAAATTCTGTTAACTTGTATGCGTTGCAATATTACTTTGCAGTTGTTAGCATAAACATTTAATGTGTCTTTCGACTAGACCTACCACACGTTAAAAGAAGCCGCCTACACCCCTTTTCACTAGAACCATAATACTGTAAAATATTTGATAGAAATTACCCCCCGAGGCATCATATCTTCCATTTGAAAGAGCTGTGGAGGCAGATACATTTTTTACTCTAAATTATGGAATGATACTTCCAGGTTATCTTATCCTTGCTTATAGATATCTTGAGGTCAGTGACTCCAACTGACCCATGCATGCCACACTGAAAATTCTCCTGTGTACCGATAAAATTAGGCTGTTGGAGCCTTCAGACCTTGAAAACAGTCGAATCTGAGCACGATGGATTCATGTGAAACACGTAATATGCATTTATAGGCAAAAATATCCCATCCTGAGCAGCGACGATCCACAACCTCCTGCCTATGGAATCAAAACATTAGACAAATTGGTGTACTGTGCGCATTCACAAATCTTTGCGAATCACGTGTGCCTTTTGACTGAAAAAATTTAGCATTGAAATGGTCAATCTCAATATCAACCTAGTATCTGCAGATAAAACCAATTGTTTTTTAAAAATACATTTTTGATGTGCTTTATTTTTCAAATATAATTTATAATTACTGTAAAGTGTGTGATACATTTGGTACCATGAATACCATTTGCAAATTAGCTTGGGTTACACCCCTCTCAAATAAAAGTTTAGACTCTTAAGTCATATCTCATAATATTCTTTAAACAAAAGGTTGCGGCTAGCCGGCTACCCATCAGAATTTCCTTTCAGATCACAAAGTCACAATATTACGCCTCGCTAAGTTGCATTGGCAACTGTATCTGGTTGTAGTATCGGTGTTCAACTTTAGACTGGAAACCTTCACTACCAGATCCATCGAAACAATTTTTTTTATGATAGGGTCGTCTTGAAGTGGCTTTCGTAAAAGCACCATGGACACTTTATCTCCACCAATCCACAGTAATCACAAGTTACTTTGTCATTACGATAAGCATCAATAAATGGGGGGGGTGGTCGTAACCGATCAGCGGTCATGTGAACCACCCTCGGTGGGAGTAGAGCTGCAATCCTCTCGCACATAACTATCCCCGCATGGGATTGAAACCTGTGAAACTACCAGGGTGATCAGAGATGCGGTGGCGAGGGTATTCCAGGCCCCATGGTGTTAAACTTTAGTTATCTATTCCAGCTTTCACACTCAGTAATAGATTACCTGCTAATTAGGGAAACAATACCTTATAGCAATTGATTATTAATTCCTTACTGTCTTACACAAGTCAAGTCTGCAACTGCAAGTAGGCCCACGCCTAGGCATTCTAATAACAGTAGTTTGTCATCTGCTTTCCATTGAAATGAGGGAGCTTGTGAATATTTAAAGAAACTGATAACGGCACACTACACACCACATTATCACTCACCATCAACGAAGTGCTGTCCGCAAACAGTGAAACACAAGTGAGATGGCTTCTGGACTTCCACATTGCGCGACGTTCCGGATCTTTTGTAATCAGTGGAATAAAACTTAAGATCCATTTCGTTGTCTATACTATACGTACAGCCAACGGAACAATACGAAATAACCATTTTCAACAGCCAAACAAAACGGAAACGTATAATCCGACTTGCCACTGACAGGAGCCAAATGGACGTTTTTGATTTATTGCCGTCCAGTAACAAAGTCACGTGACCCGTGCAAGTCCTCTATACCCTATGTAGCTGGCAACGCATCGTGATTCACACTATCACTTGCTATAATGCCAGACCTAAACTACGCAATGTACGGGATCCATGAAAACGACGTACAAACAGTTGTGAATGCTTAATGCGATATCTAGAACATTGAAGGTTTTAATCGATTAAAACTTCCTGATTTTCTAATTTCAACTTTTAGATGTCTATCTTCAAAATAAAAGTGGTAAAATGGAATGATGAACATTTGAATCATGTTCGCTAGAATAATATAATATTATATATGTGCAATATCCCATCTTTGATACCTTCAAAATAAAATTGATTATTTTCCAGAAATGTTGATCAAAATGGGAAAATCTGTTTAAGTATACTTCACCAATAAAATTGAAGAAAAACACCAAAATCTTATTTCGATCAGAATATAATGAAATTTGGCTAGATATGCCAACATTTTGCAATAAAATTCCATTACTTAAAAAAGATTTTTACATTCTATTTCCCCCTCATTATATATTATATATATATGTATCATCCCCGACTATCAACATTAAAAATCAAAAATCAAAAGCATATATATATATATATATATTGGGAAGTGTATTTGCGACCTTGAAATTAGATGTTGTATATAACGTATAATATTTATTTTCAATTTTGCTGTTACTAGATACGCACATATGTAGCTCCATCCATAATGTTTCCAGAAAAATTAAACAAGAACATATATATAAGCAGTTATGCTCTATAAGGTGCAACTCTCGGTACAGAAGACATTCGTGTTATCACTGGCAATATCTTTCCAACTTCTGTTGCTCGCTGTTGCTTGGTGTGGTCATCATCAAAACGATTTCGCAATGGGTCTTTCCACGCAAAGGGCAATAGACCGTAGTTTCCGGTGTGTGCTAATCTTGCTTTGCTAATATCGTCCCAAAACTCTCCTTTTGATTTGATAGGAAACGTTGGAGAAGCACCTAAACCATAAGTGTATGTTATACATGCGGCCTATTTATTAACAAGTTTAAAGAGAGCTTGTTTTATGATTGTGTTGGAATAGGGTCACCAGATAGCGTTTTCTCTAAATTCTGATGTTGAAGGTTATGCAACATTAGAGCTAAAAACATTAAATGGAGTGTTTAACATTGTATCTTACTTCTGAATTCTTGTACCCGTCGCACTCTTCGTCGCCACACATCGGTTTCTACAGCAACAGTTTTAGGAACCCTTTTTGTATCCTGTGTCGCGGATTCCCCTTCTAAAATCGGAGGAAGCCCTGTCTTTTGCACACAGTTTCTTGTACGTGGATCTTTGGAACGTGATTGTGCCAATAAGGGGGATTCTAGGGGTACGGAGGTACTTCTAGGGGGACTGAAGAATCCTGTTATACCGGGAAATGTGTCATCTGCGTGCTCCATGCTAGTTCTTGCAAATCTCATGGGTGATGTTTGAGTTTCTTTGTGTCGTTGTGGTTCCGATTCAAGAGTGTTCTTGTAATGAGTGTTATGTAGGGTAAGATGTTTTTTCTTTTGTTTTCTTTGCATTCTTGGGACCATGTCGTTCCTTAAAGTACTAGCTCGGCGCTTGTAAGCTTCGCTCAGTTCTGGCGAGTTAGCCGCCGTGTTGGGAGGTACTTTAGGCTTTGATTTTTTTGTCTGTGCAAATATATAATATATAAAAAACGACTAGTTTCAAACTTAGGGCAGAAGAGACAATTTGGAATGTATCTTTTGAGTATGGCCAAAATAATGATCATTGATCTCATATTCATCCTTATTTTCAGGAAATTTTTACATTTATTCATTTTATGGGTATAATAATGGAATGTCACAAATTATGATATTAAAATATAACACCAACACAATTAAAAAATATATATACTATAACATGAAAGCTGTTTTCAAATTTCCTGAAGCTTACTTGGGGAAACACATCATTTCCACTGCCGCGCTCATCTCCTAGCGGCGAGGCTTTAGATTTCAGTATTTCATCTGTACGAAGTGATAGACTTGACCTATGTATAGGTTCATTTGTTTCTCTTGACTCCCTAAAGCTAAACAGAATGTTTTCATATTAAATTCTAAACACAAAATCTCTGTGATCCTACTAAAACTACTATACCGTTTTTTCTTTGATGATGGATGTACAATAAAAATTATAAGAAATTTCTACAAACAATGAACTAAACTATAAAACAATATTATTTTAAAAAGAATGTTGTAACTTGTGCAATAAACTTGATAAAACGTTCAAACATTTGCCAATTCAGTAACGATAGTAATTATGGACCGCCGCAGAATTCCCTGCATCAAGCTGCTATCAATAAAGCTCGGGAAAATAATTATTTGCGAAAGTCATGCAGCAGATTTATTACTCTATGGTTGAGGCGTTGAGCATGTATTGAATTTCGTAGTTATCAAGCCCCTGGAGTAGGACAACTCGCAATCATACCTTGGTGAAGTTGTCATGTCTTCATGCTTCCTTGAAAACCGATCTTTTGTCCATGTAGCTTCACGAACTACTTCTGCCCCTGTGACCTCGTCCACTTTTACTACGGTAGAAGGAGGATCTATGCCAAACAAGAATGATTTATTTCAAATAGAACACAACACAAGATTTTTTTTTTTCAATTTTAATTATACAATTAATTCCTAAAATACAATATGTTTCGATTTAAAAAATGTATAGGTATTGTTCAGATTAAAATCGTTGTTGGTACTGAAATGTTATATATATATATTTAGAACTCAATTTTATCGATTGATATTGAATGAACCATACCTTTGACAGGTTGGCCAGTATGCCAGAGTTGACGCATGTTGTATGATAAATGGGGTCTTTTCACTTTTGGACTCCATATTGAATTTGGCATATTGCTCGAAGGTGTGTATGACTTTTTCTTTCCGCCAGCTGGCAGCCTAGATTGTTCACCATGACGGTGCATTTCTCCCGGAGCAGAGGATCTGAAACAAGCATGAACCTTTTTGTAGGTTTGTATAAAAGGCTTAATCGGATATTTACTTTTAGTTCTGGCGTGACGTGCATGGACTGAACAATGACACATCTTACTTTTAAACTGGAAAGCTCGTAACTCCTTGGGGTCAATTAGCAGAAGGTGAATCGTTTGAGATGTACGTTTCTGGTATTAAATCTTACGCTACAAAATTTAACGAAACTATTTTTATAAAACATATACCATTATCCACTAGTTGAATAAACTTTGTCAAGATAATGAACGCAAACACATTTTAATTGCTTGAAATTACACATAAATAAATAGTCTGTTTCTGTTTCATTGTAATTGCCTTTAAAAGCTCGTGTTTTCAAATGTCAAACAATGGTTTTTCTAATACAAGCAATTTCTGAGTCACAGAACACAAGCTGTCTTCATGGTACGGTTGAGCCTCGATCAATCAAATTGAAATCACAAACCAAAGAAAGCGTCGAGACTAGGTTGTCATTGAGAATAATCGAGTTTTGTTTGCTGATTACACAATATAATAATATACTCAGTGACATACAATAAAGCAATTTACTGATGTTACACGTGGTATTTTATGCATCAAATACTGTATGAATACAAGCATAATAATTCAACAATAAAATCATTAATTTCGTTTTCATATTATTCTGGTAAAAATGCTCGGTAATCTACCGGTATAAAGTAAACACGTGTGTTGTATAGCCATATATGTAAGGCCTACCTTGTACACAATTGGTAAGTGAGAGACGGCCAAATCTATAGTTGCAGCAACTGTTAATTTCATGTAAATGTAACATGTTGCGCTAATTGATGGCAAATTATTAACAACAAATGTAAACAGAGGAAGCTTCAATGACAATTTAGTATTGGTATTATAGACACATTTGCAAAATATAAAGATAGGAGAAAAGTGGAATTTACCTTCAAGGTAGAATAATTTCCTACTTGTGTTGAATTGATTAATGTGGCAACGACTCCATTTAGCAGTACCTTTCCAGTCAATATCAAAAGTAGACAATATTATGCCGAATCGTCAAGGTTGGCTTCTGGTAATTAGTTTTTGCCAATTCAGATTTTATATCGTTAATTTTCTATTGTCAATAAGTCTTCACATAATAACAAGCGAAGGTCGCGGAGTAATTCATACGTTTTAAGCGTAAATAGATAATTTGTTGTAAATGACTTACCTTCCCATTCCAGGTTTTTGAAAAGCTTCATACTTGACGGTAGCATTTTGCTGTCGTTGTCTAGTATAATCCTTCACTGCTTGATAAGATGGCAATTCCCCTTTGTCCTTGTTTACTTTTACCCTTAACAATAAATTTGCTTTAGAGTCATGAGGTTGGCATTAGAGATAGATTCAAGTATTTCTAAGTGTATACCAACAATGGAAGACTACAAAATCAAGTTGGTGGGCGTGTTTGTATTGCAACAGTCAAGTTGTAAGCGTAATAAACTAAAGGTGAAGGTATGAAATTTGAGAAAAAGAGGTGCAAAGTATTTTGTAGTATTCTATCATAATGTAAAGCGTAAAACCTTAATGATTTTTCAGTGGAAAAAGTTTCAATATATAGGACTATATACAAAGAAGGTTGAAATGATAAAAACCGCGCAAGTACAATAATTATAATGACGTAATTGTCTCAAAAATATGTTATGATTTGCCATAGTGGGAAATGAAAGCATAGAGCCCTCCAACTATTATAGATAAGCTTTTTGCAGACGGGGTTTATCCAGTGGTGGGATTCAGCCGCTTTCATCACAAAAGTCATATTTTTCACCCGGTTCTGTTACAAAAAGTCATTGACAGTTACCAGTAATGCTAACCGGTTCACTGATCTCATAAAATTCCGGTTATTGTAATTTACTCAATGGATTGAGGTTCGTATATATGTCGGCTAATAACAATGGTTTTATATGAAGTAGCCATGGTTTTAGTGCATAATCATACTGAATAGATAAAATTTATTTCCTAACAGTCATTAATCGGTTCAAATTTTTCATAGAACTCATCGTTTATATCCATATAATTTATATGATAAATATAACTATTTAAAACGTTTAAATTTGAAAAATCAAAGCGAGTCAAGCGTGTATAGTATACAATACATAACATTATTTACTTGTGAATTATTTGCTTAATTATAACTACGTGACAAGATTAAGGATAAATATTCATAAAATCTTCAGATTGTTTTCAAGGACTCAAAAAATTATAAAAATCCTACAAAAACACTTAAATAGTTGTTTGCCGTTTCAAAAATGCAAATAAAACAATAAAGGTCTTGGTTGCTTCACTAAAAGATATTATACTGATAAATGGAAATTTTCTGTAAGATAAATCATGTCCGACGAAACTGTATTCATCTAATGTCCATGTCTGACTGTACCTGGTTTGGAATTGAGAGCTTGATGCGTTGAAGATGAAATCTTAAAATATTATGTTTCGGTTGTCGAAGCAAAATTTATAAAAATTTATCGCTTATGAATCAAATTCAGCATGACCACTAAAGGGTACAAATGGGACATGTGTGGCTTTTACCTGCACAAACATCAGTCATCATCAGTTTATAACTTTATAGTCTACTCTATAATGTTTGAATATTTTATTGGATTATGCGATACTAGTCTCCAACTAGTTTTGTTATCAAAACAGACATCGGTATACACAGAACAACAAAGACTTACCTAGTTGGTCCATTATCAATATACAGTAGATACGTCCCAAATGGTGTCGGGAGGTACTTATGCAAAGGATACATATTTTCCCTTTCTATGTAGCTTAATATTTATTTTGATAACAATCTACCTATTGTAAGAATCCATGTTTTCCGGGTTATGTTATATGCCAAACAGATACAGAGAAAATTCGCAACCTATAACTCTAACACCCACTCTTTTTACAGAGGTGTTTGAACGATAAACACATTTCTGATCAGGAACAATATGACGCTCTTTTGTTTTTAGTGTTCCAACGCGGCTTCTTTGTTTAAAAATATGTATCATAAGACCCGGTAATCAGATACCAATGAGATTTTCATTCATTAACCCTTTATTGGCCATTTTATCCTCAGGATGATAACATTATTATTTTAAATTCTATTTTTTTCTGAAAATATATTCTTAATATTATTTTAACATAATTATTTTTCATAAATTTTTGTTATGCATTTGCGTTTTCCTTTAAATTTTAATAAAAACGAGGATGAAAGCGGTTAAATATTCCTTTTGGTATCTCTTTCATTATATCACATATTTAAAAGCTTTAATTAAACCATTTCTCTTTTATATTGTTTTCTTATTTTGATTGATGGTTGAAGTATATAGTTTCAGCACTGCTTTCCGATACAAACCTTTGCGATGTTTAATGTCTGCCAAACGTGGCAAAGTAATGAATAAGAACACCTTTATATACCCTCATGTACGAACAATGAGAAAGACTACCTCGCTTTAGATTTTTTCATTAATTTTATTCGAGATGAAAGCGTTTGTTTGATTATAGAGGTATAGTCTGGACGCTTTAAATCATCCGTAGAAGATTTCCACCATACGTTACTCTTGGTAACGCTTTCGTAGTACCGATAATCCAATGTGGAGCTCTACTCGGGTGTCAGTTCAATCAATATTGCTTGAGATAGACAAGCCATGTACAAATTAGGTAACAATTATACCTTGCTAACAAAGGGTGGGTTTCTTTGTGAGTTGTGTTTTAATTTATATTCTGTTTGTCTGGTATAATTAGTTCGGTAACAGGGAGAAATTAAGATTTTTTTTAATAGGAATAATTTATATTTAATCGTAATCAATTTTGTGTTTTATTTAGGGTATAACAGTAACTTACTTGTACAAAACATCTAACTTTATACATTTTTGTAGGAATACTATATATAGATTTAAAAAGGCACTTATCTACTCAGTTTTCTGCTTGTTGCCATTTTTGGGATAAGGCATATACGGATTGACAATAGCGGTGCCGTCCAATATGATGGCATTTGTAGTTATTCATTGTTGTTATGAACTGAGATATTTTCTATTTTTAAATTTTTTTATCCTATAATAAAAAACTAAATAGTACCAGTAATGAAATATTTTTGCAAAGTAATGCATTTTAGAAATAAGATTTCTTACAAATTTGAAATTATGAAAAAACGACAGGAAATATAATAGTTATGGTTTATTTTGCTATTCAATTTTTCCCAGTTTGCTATGTATACCTAAATATAGAAAGTTCAACAAAATGTCTCGAATGCCTGAAAAACTTCGGATCCAAAAATATTCGCATTACGCAACGAACTCGCCTTTGAAACCAACAAGGGACGATATTTTTAAAGCCGCGATGAAAGAAAGAAGACAAAATGATAGGTAAAAAATGATAATGCTTGTGTTGTAGGGGTCAGAAGCTGCCAGTGACGCCTCGGATCGTACATACGTTTTCATCAGTGCGGGGTGCAAAATGTCAAATATTATCACTAAGTCTGGTTAACTTTTTGTTGATAATTCTGTCAATCGAATTCCGATAACAAATTTTTACGTCCTTGATTGTGTCGATGTCTATTTTTGTCTTCTTCACGCATTTTAGGTCTACACTTCGACTAATCATTGTCATATCAAGTTTGGATTTCGTGTTTGAGAAAAAAAATAGCCATGAGATTTGTCTTGTTTTCACTGTAGGCTTATAATGAGAGCAAAATTTCTTAGCAAAGGGCACATATTTCGGGCTTTTAATGATTAGAAAAAGTAAGATTGACAGTCACCCCGCTGAAAAAAAAGAAGCTGCATGAAGTTGCAGAATGCTCATCATGAGTGATATCATATATTTATCAACATGCTAGTTGAGAGAAATTCAAGTAAAAAAAATCTAGAAAATAGCTCATTTTTTGGTAGGATAGGTACCAGGAATCCTATTAAATTTAGTTTCAATAGAGATAGAAATTTTCAACTCGTACGCAAAAGAACTAACGTCTGATTCATTATGAAGAGTAACATTGTTGTTCTGTTGTGAACTCGGATTTATTCCTCTAAGGCATATTCTCCTAATAAGAAAAAATAAGTGAGTCAATAATCAACTAACAAATAGTATATATCGTCACTCCTTTGCCCAATAAGGTGTATTACTCTCTGATGCGCGATAGTGAAACTCCATTTTGCTTAAAATTTTATCTGAGCAAATTTTGTTGTTTAGTGACAACATCATGAGAAAGAATTGGCATAAAAACATTCTGTGTGCATTTTAGGGCGGAGTTTGTTCTTGACGGTGTTCGAGAACATACAAAGCATGCTTCAGTGATTCCATCATACAACGCTTTTAATGATCGCCACTCTCAAGTTTATTTCCGATCACCCCGCGTTCAAGCAATGCTCAGAAAAGTCGAAGAAATAGAAAAGGTAAGTTAAATTATACCTCTATAAACATCATATTAGGATCTCGTAGTCCGGCGTTCGTATGTCACTCACATGTAATGTCACACCTGTGAATTATAGGTTTTAGTGGGATAAAATTAATCAACTTGAACTAAGAAGTATTTTTAGATTCCATGAATGACGCAAATTATTTGAGTATGCCTCGATTATTCATAAACACTTCTTCCCATTGTTTTATAATACAAAAATAACTAAGTGTTTAAAATGTTTATTTTGTCATATACTTAAATTATGCATTGCTTTGAATTTTCCTACTCTACTCTATGAGATTTCATCACGTTCCAACATTTTACTTGTATATATGAAAAATTATTCTGGTCATACTGTCAAATAAACCAATACAAGGAAAACTGAACAGCATTAGAGATTTTAATCTATCCAAAATAAAAGATTCCTCAACCAATTCCCTATGATTCAATCTCACAGAATCAAAATTCAGCTGAAGGTATTGAAAATTTTAAACTCTCAACAAGACAAAGAATTCCTCACACGCCATACAAAGAGGCTATTACACGTAAGGAATCAAGGTAAGATTGAGGACACACAATTATGGACCAATTAAATTAATGGACACCAAATGGGCCTATAGATCGCTTTGTTATTATTATTATGTTATTGTTAGTATTTTCTTTCTCGTTGCTGCGTAAAATTGCTTTACGGTAATGTAAAATGTTTGGTACCTGTTCTACTACTTTGTTCTGGCATCTGTGTCCATACATACTTGCTCTGTTGGTTACATTTATTTTGTTTCTTCGTAATGTTATAGCATTTTAGCGATATTCTCTTTTTCAATTATCGTGTTAGCCCGCTTATACATATTTCCCGTGATCAGAATCGAAGATTCTAATTAGATCGAACTTCTAATGTAGTGTATATGTATTAACAAGATTTGTTTTTACACCCCCATAAATATTTAAACTTTTAGTATAAGAAATCTCAATTCGTAAAATAATGGCATACAAAAAATCTATATATTTATATATATAACTGCCAATAATTCCAACGTAAAAGTGAGCTGTTAGTCCTTATTCTTAACAATTTAACTGCAGCAAATTGTACTTTATATTCGACAATCGTCAATGTGATGAGTTAGGATTCGGCTGGAATGGAGAACAATGTTGTTATATTTTATGTTTTTCAGATTTGTTATTGATTGCGTTCGTACTGACACACTTAAATCAAAAAGAAAACCAGTCATACCTTCTTATAACGCCATTGAAGATGAACATTCTCAAAGCTATTTTAGAAAAAAAGAGTGTTAGACAACTTGTGAAACGAACTCTCAATATGAAAATATAATTCACGAACTCGTAATTTTATTATTATTCTATAATACTGTTGAACTGTTATACTTTGTACTGTCACACATATATGGAATGTATATCCATCCAAAGCCAAACACAATGTCCACCCAGTTGAAATAGCACTCTTAACCCATGCTGTCTCAAAGAAACGGGATTGGTGAAATATAAAATTTGCACATGATGTGATGGAATTATTACGAATCTGAATACTCAAAGGCTTGGAACAAATTTATATCCTTTTCATTCGTTCGTTTTTCATTTGTTAGTTTTCTCACATTTTATTCATTATTTCTCTTAATCTTTACTTTTAACAGTATTTTTCCACGAACACTGTTATTGATTTTGCAACTCTGTTTTTACCACATCCATCAGCTATATCTAGAAAAGTGTTTTATTGATGTGATAGTGCGGTCTGTTGAAGAAGCAAAATTAAATTGATTTAAAAAAAAAAATTTTTTTTTAATGAGTTAAATAAAAAAATTCAACTGGATATATGTTGAGTTTTTTCATTTGTATATTTTACTGGACACGACATGTATCGTTTTGTTATTAAGTTGTTGTTTATTGGTAATTTTGATATTTTCCTTCTTCGTGTTGTTGTACTTGTCGTTATCATAAAAACGGGCGTCTATTAAATTAGTGGAACAATTGCTTCAAAATTTATTAGGTAAAGATTGTTGTTGTCGCTTAAAGGGTATTACTTTTATTTAGTTCAAAAAATTACGCAGGGTCTACGGGATTATTTTTTGTGCGTGGTGAAGTTGTCAAAATTAAAAATTGAGCACCTGATGGCCGTTCGCGTTTGCGATCTGGTGGCCAGTCCAAGTTGGGAAGACTACGGTACTTGTAGTCCCATACCCGAACTACTTCATTTTGGACTGCGTGTCTATAACTTGAGCATTAATCTCTTATTTTATTTGCACTCTAAGAAAGGATGATCGTTGCAGATGCAGTACAAATAAGTGAGAATTTAAATACCTTTGCGACTGATTAAAGCGCGCGTGCTTAGTCTCGGAATTAGTATGATAAAGTCGGGGGTTAGTTAATGATTGATGCAATTTCTGCCGGCGTTCTAATATGCAGTACATGTTCGAACACGGTTGTAAATATATTAGGTCAAATAGTTGTAATCTGACTAGCTACTATTTTCCATGTCGAGATTGCAGTGGACTATGATAATTTAGCAAGACGACATAAAATGAAGGTGATATGTGCAGGAATGTCAAAATGTGGAACGAAAAGTATGCATTCTGCTTTAGAAGAACTCGGGTTTGAAGTACATGACTTCCCAGAAGCATATGACAATTTTGTTTCGAAATATCTGAATATTTATTCCAGAGGATGGACCTCTAGGGAGTTCCAAGTAATGTACAATGATGTCGATGCTGTGGTGGACTCTCCAGCTTATTACTACTGGGAAGAATTGATGGAGGCTTTTCCGGAGGCAAAGGTTGGATATATTTACATTTTTCGGTCTTTCAGATGTTCATATACTTGTATGAGCTTTGATTTAACTTGATGAAATTGTTAAGAATAAATGATGTTACATTTCACCTATTTGCACAATTCGTAAGGCAGGTGAAATAAGGAACGCCCACTTTATAAAAATGGACCTTCTTTCTTAACATTTTATGCCTTCTAACTACAACAAACAAGTCAAAATCACAATATCAAATAGATATGACTAAAGATTATAATATCTCATGTGCGACCCGTTGCAAACGTTGACAATTTGGTCCACTATATGTCAATCCTTATAATAACAAAGCAAAAATGTTTTAGTTTACGAGTGACTAGGGATGTAAGTTTCGAATATTATTTTTTCAAATCGAATTTCGAATCACAGTGTTCCCGATTCGAATATTTCCGAATCTGATTCTTTTCAATATATCATCATATTAGCTTTCTTTAAATTTGGAAGAAATATAGTATAAATTTTAATAAATTACCAATAATGAGCTCGAAAGAATGAATAAAATTATTAGAAAAGCACGTAGCATGGCTGTATCAACTACCAAATATATTACGGCTGAGATTTATTTTTGTTACATAAAGATATACTTAGTTACATATTTACTTACTTACAATTATGTTTGCAAACAATACCGGGTGTATAGCGATTGTTTCTTCTAAAATTGACCTTCAAAATTCATCTAAATGATAAACGATAGTTGGTACCATGTGTTTTTAAATGTTGGTACTTGTTTTTAAATAATAAGTTATAAAGCAATGATGTTTTATTATATTAATACTATGCAGATTATTTGAAGAAACGTTTATATATTAAAATATCTGTGACATTTTAAGTAGTCGAACAAATATAAGCGAAACGAATGCTTCCTCTAAAGTTGCTACCAATATGGAATATAACGACTCTGCATGGGGGTGTCACAACTTTGGAAAGCTGTAAACTGTTAAAAATTTTCGTAGCTTTAACAAGGAAATGGCAGTTAAAAATAATCATACTTTCCTGTTTTTGTGACGCCGTAAAATATACTGGAGATTCCTGAAAGAACATTTTATGACAACCTAATGGTAGTAAGTAAATATATTTTTTTGCATACAACTACTCAGAAACTAACGTGACTGCTGTGCAGGATGATTAGTTGTGATGAATAGCAAGCATTATACTAGAATTTTATATGGAGTTAAAAACAGACGGGATGTGCGTGTTTCTCTGACTTTGTATTTGACATAATGGGGTGGTCAACATCTGCCTGAATATTGGCTGGCTCTTGCTAATTATGCATATATGTTTGCTTAGGATTTATGACCTCTTTACTATTCAGATATTTCGGTAAGCAGACAGTAAAACTGAAGAAAAGAAAATTCGACATGAGATCAACCAGAAGGTTCGGAGGTTGCTGAAGAAAATATGCAACCTTTAAAATATGCGAACTCAATATAAATAATTCCGAATACACTGTGTAACGAAAAAACTCACAGTTTTTATCTAGTTTCCATGTTAGCTTACATTGAGGAAATCACATTTTTTCTTTTTAACGTTAGATATCGTGAAAATGGGGGATTTCCCTAAAATCATTTTTTTTTTGTAGAAAATTGTATGAAAACTTTCATTGTAATAGTCTGGTGCTATTTCTCTCTAGAGTTTTGATATTTCACAGTTATATTCCTTGTATTTTATGTGAGACATCTTGAATTAAAAAAACTTAAAATCGATCAAACAAGTTGTATTTTTCTAGATTTTCATTTATTGTCCAAGTAGATTTTACAGGTAAGTCCTCATATCCATTAACCCATCCTTCGCTCATAGTACTGTCATTGGTAAAGAACGTTAACGTATTCAATATGCATATTGAATTTGTGAACGTCCATTATCAATGGCGGTACAATGAGCGAAAGAGGGGTGACTATGTATATTACCTAATGTATTGTACCTAAATCGACTTGTTGGAAATCTAGAAGAAAAAACATCTTTTTTTGATTAATTTTCAGCCTTTTTGCTTGTCAAAAAAGTATTCAACATATTTTGGTATTGAATTATTCAAGATATTTTACTTAGAATGCAAGGAATACGGCACTGGAGTATCAAAACACTAGAAAATCGCTCCAGACTATATTAAAATGAAAATATTTTTGGCTGTTTTTTGTTAAAATTTCACACAAAAACCTGATTTTGGGAATCCACCAATTTTTAAAATTAAACTTGAATAATATTATGTACTGTTCTCCAGATTTAGACCGTAACCATTTGGAAGCCGAAAACAATATATTTGGGGAATGTATTTGGAAATGGTCTTGGCGTATGCTGAGAAATTTGTTATTTCGATGACATATATAGTGAGGGAAAATAGGCTTAAAAATCGCCTAAAAACATACTGAAAGTTTGGGGGTCGTTACCACACCCCCTGTCTGTGCCTGTGATTTTTATGTTTAATTTTTTGATGATTCGTTTTCAAGAATAAACTTCTGTAAGTTTGTTTTAGTTGATCTGTCATAAGATTGGGTGTTACTTAGAGAATACACGGAATTCCAAGTTTGAATTGCTGCCACGGAATTCCCTGTAACTGCATATACAAGGAAATTCTATCACGCATTTTACAGGAACATCCTTGTCAAGTATACATGCGAGTCGTAAATGTTCTACAGTGAAAAGTAGGTCTGTTTCACTTAGAATTAAGATGAAATCAACTCGGAAAATCAGATAAATATTACTGGGAATTCCCTGCAATTTGGGCTGTGAAACCGGGATTGTCCTGTAATTTTTACAGGGCAAATTGAGTCCTTTTAAGTGGAAAATACCGTAGAAATTGCTGCGATGGAATTCCATGTAAAGATTCTTAACAGTGTAGACGTAAGGAAAATAAACGTTTTTGAGGCAAAGCCGCTGTGTCGTGCAACTGCCTTGTGTTATCTGTAGAATTATTTTTTAAATAGAATCGAGCCCTTTTTTTTAAATTGCTTCGAATCGATTCGAATTGATGTTAATTCGAAATTCTGAAACTCATATCCCTATTCACGACTATAGGTCCATTAAATCACCCATATTGTAAAATAATTGTTAAATTGGGGTTCTGCAATATTTTATTGCAAAGAATTCTGCAAACAAGTCAGAAAGATTTGCTAATTTGCTCATTCAACAGGTAATACTAATGACTAGGGATACCGAAGAAATGTGGTTTGAAAGTATTAGAAAACAGCTGCTTTCATTTAATGGATTGCATTGTTACTACTACCAACTGCTTTCGCCGACCTGGAGAAGATTTTGGGAATTTGCAAGAGCATGTAAGTAACATAATATTCTTATTGCAAAAATATTTTGTAATAATTTTTCATTTAGAATTTTTTTGCATCGAGGTTTGCCAAGATATGCAAATCCATTTTAAAGAAGTTCTATAGTGAACATTCAAAGGATGCGTTGGTACAATAAGCGAAGTTATATAATCAAACTTTTCATCGTTTTCTTGATTTTGCTGTTGATTTATTGTATAATTAGTAAGAGATATTTCAATAATCAATCATGGAATGTGGACAATAATAAACGGTTCCCGTACATTTGAACCCACGACAATATTGCACCAGCATACTATTGCACCTATAAAATTTTTCTTTTGTTTCGCGGATATTTGAACCCCTGCTAACCCTAACCCATGAGTTCAGCACCCGCATATAGATTGAACATATTTTTCTTTGCCACAGATTGAATCAACCACAGAAATTGTATTGCATTTGTAATTTGAACATTATTACAATATTTAATTGTCATTTAGGTAACGTTGCTTTTGGACTAGAACAATATAATTTTATGTACTTTGGAGAGAAAGATCCCCCGAAACTTCCTTTTATGCTGGCGTATAAAAAGCACAATGCGCATGTAACTCAGGTACGTTTAATTCACAAACAACTTGTATGAAACATAACAGGAATTTGATTTGAAAATGTTCTTTGGTTATTGACTACTAATTTACTCTAATTAGATTATTTTATTTTTTTATTTTTTTTCGAATATGTGTATATTTTTAGTTGGTGCAGCACCACCTATTTAATTCATTGGATTAAATCTCAACGTAAGTATCTTCAAACAACATAAAAGTTATTTCGTACATTTGGAAAAATCAAACAAACAAAATAAATGATCTAATTCTAGCATAAACAATGAACCTTTTTTTTTAATTCAGAGCTGCCCGAAAGATCGTCTTTTAATTTACAACTGCAAGAGTGGATGGAAACCTTTGTGTAAATTTCTTGGAAAGGACGTACCAAGAAAAGATTTTCCTTGGATAAACAAAAAAAGTGAATTAGCTAACATGATTTGGGAAATGCCAATGTTCAAGAAAGCCAAAATTGAAATGTTAACAAATGCTACCTTGTTGTTTGCTAGTGTTATATGTGCTGGATATTACTTTGTAAAATATAGTTGAAATTGAATAAGTTGCATGTGCTTTCAATATAACATGAAATTTTGATCTATACTTTTTGTCATTAAAACATGCTTTCCTATTTATTGAAACATCTTGTTTCAACATAACCCATGGAATACATATTATTCATCAAATAATAAAACATATATATAAAGTATTTCTGAAAAAATTGATTTTTTTTGTGCCGGTATGGCAAACTGTTATTTGCTATTGAAAAAACTCCAGCAGCGATATGGAAACACGTAAGCATGTTAAACATTATATATCTGAGGTTAGTTAAGGTCAGGTTAAATGATTTATGCATTTCTATGTATTGCAATAAATGATGCCATATTATGCAGACTTCTAAATATAACACCCTTCATTATCATGTATGATATATACTGTATATTATAAATGTATAAAGGCTATACATTTAAAATATATTCATCACATATGAGAATGAAACTGTCGATATACATATATATTTAGTTTAACAAGATTTATATTATTCTAGAAATAAATTATTTATAATGCATCAATATATACATTGACTTATTGGACTGTTTTACTTCTAACTCTTATATTTACCATATTAATGCATTGAATTTGTACCCTGAAATAATATTTCCCACTTTATTATCCGTAATTCTTTGCCTTATTAAATATAGATTATCCAACACCCATATGATTAAAAAACTGATTTTGCGATTTTTTATCATAAAATCCGGGATGTTTTGATTTGAACCACGCGAAGATGAGTTTTAAGAATCTTAAATTTTGCTGATTGCGTTCAGATGCATACCAATTCAAAAATCACAAAGAAAAAGAGACCAAAAAAGAAATTATCATCAGAAATGATTCCACTTTGCATTGGAAAACTATTAGACGCAATCAATTAAAATCTCCCGATTCCTGGCAATAATTACTTAAAAATGGGTGTCTCAAAAATGTCCTGTCGCTATTGTTTGGCTTGCCCCACGTGTCGCACTTACGTGTCTTACTTGTCCCACGTGTTCCACGTACGTGTCGCACTTGTCCCGCGTGTCCAACATGTCCAATGTGGGTGATTTGTGTAACGAGAGTGCTGGCAATCGAATCACGCACGCTTACTACAATTGCAAGTAGAAAATTATTATATAACGTCACGTTTTCTGGTACCATAAAAGTTGATTACAATTTTAAACTTTTTTCAACTTCAAGTTGTTACCAAAAATTACCTATCTATGACTATAGCGTGGGAAATAGGAAAAGAAAAGGAATAGGAAAAGTGGGAAAAGTGGAACATTACATTTTCGAAACACCGCGTAAGAATAACCAAATGCTTGTAAGTTATCTTTTGCACCTAAAGACATATCGGAAGAATATAAGCCATGATTGTATTATCACCAAGCACCAGTGAGTCCAGTACAAGTTGCGATTCGTGCAAAAATGACGCAATCCCGAACGTGTTTTGCCAACCAATACAAAGTTGTAGTATACCCCAAGGCTATTTATTACTTTTCGAGTTTTATTCGATTGCGTTGCTGAATTTTGTGGTTTAATAAATGATTACTCGAGCAAAGTTCTGCGTTTCAATAGAAAGAAAAGATGAATTTCATGACTGATCGTGATATTTAGCACTCACGATATTAGGTTCAACAAGAAAATAATAGTGTTTAGTAACCCATGAACTTAGACAGTGTTGTGTCATACAAAAAAAATGAAAAACTGCAGAGTAAATTGCACATAAAGTTTTAGTTCATTTCAGGTTTGAGTCAAATTGTGACAAACCCCAGTTCAGAAATACTGGATGTCGTAATTTTTAAAGATTTGATTCATGCGTACTTTGATCTTCATACTTAAATAATGCTCTTTATATTGGTTCTCACTGAAGCTTTCTTCGTAGGCATGCTTGCATTTGGAAATAATCTTCAACCCGTTTCTGATAATACCTACGTTGTTCTACCGACACTTTCTTACAAGCTGGTCTATGTAGTTCATGCAAGTTCAAATGATCGTTTTAAAATTGTATTGGTGAAGTCTGAGAATGATATTGAAACTCGATGAGGAATTTCAAAATGATCATGCGCATATGTATATCAAATTTATAGTTGGTGAATTACGACAGGAAATTAAATGAAATTGAAGGCAGCCCAACAAGTGTGATCAATAGTTATAATTTGTTATCTTTATTAAAAAGTTTTAAACACTACTACCAACTTTTTTCGCCAACCTGGAGAAAATTTTGGAAATTTGCAATAAATTGTTGTAAGTAACATTAAATTCTTTTAAAAAACATTTCTCTCAATTTTTCATCAAGAAAATTTTTTCTATCGAGGTTTGCCAAGATAAGCAGCTCTATTTTAAATAAGTTTTTTAATGATCATTTCAAAAATGCAGTGGTGCAATAAGCTAAGTTAGATAATCAGATTTTTCCAATTTTCAGTTATCAAATATAAAATGGGGAAAATAATAAACAATTTCTATAATGCAACATATTCACATAAAAAAGAGATACTACATTTTTAGTTTGCTAAACTAGCTCAAAACATTCCTCATTGCAATAAATTGAATCAACCACGAAAGTTGTATTGCATTTGCGACTTGAACATTACAATATTCATTTTAATATTTAGGTCACGTTGCTTTTGGACGAGAACAATATAGTTGTATGTACTTTGGAGAGGAAGACCCCCCGAAACTCCCTTTCGTTCTGGCGTATAAAAAACACATTGCTCATGTAATTCAGGTACGTTGAATTCACAAACGGCTTATGGGGAAAATAGCAAGATTTGGATGTTGCAAAATGATTTAGTGTTATAGACTATTAATTTAGTTTAATTAGATTAGTATCTATCAGATTTGCCTAAATCGCCTTGTAAACTTCTTAGTTGTTGCAGCACGCAAACAACTATTAATTAAATGCATTGGATAAAATATCAACTCGAGGTTTCAAATATAAAACAACAAAAAAATATATTCCATGCGGTATTTAGAAAAAAACATACGAACAAACTAAAATGACCTAACTTAAAAAAATGAACCATATTTCATAATTCAGAGATGCCCAAAAGATCGTCTTCTAATTTACAACTGCAAAAGTGGACGGAAACCTCTGTGTAAATTTCTTGGAAAGGACGTACCAAGAAAGGATTTTCCCTGGATAAACAAAAACTGTGAATTGGCAAAAATGCTTTGGGAAATGCCAATGTTCAAGAACGCTAAAAAAGCAATGTTAACAAATGCTACTCTGTTATTTGCTGGTATTATATTCGCTGGATATTACTTTGTAAAATAAGGTTGGAATTAAATAAGCTGCATGTGCTATTAATACAGGAGAGCTACGCCCAAATATATGGACACGTCTGTTCGCAGTACAGTATGGTTTACCGTACCGTCAGATCACAGTGTACAAACATATTCACACCAAGCGATGCAGTACAGTCGGACACAAAATGGCGTAGAACGTTCGATGAAAAGCTACTTTCAGATTTTCCACTAGGGGTCCAAAAAGGTCAAAGAACAACAACAACAACATAATATTAAAACGATCGCTATGTACACTACGTGTCCAATAACTTGAAGGTGATTGTAATGTATACTTTCCATTGTTAAAACACGCTTTCCTATATTTATTGAAACATATGACACATAAATAAAACGTAAATAAAACATATTGTTACATTATTTTCCAATATATTTCATGCAACACATATTATTCATCAAAGAAAAAAAACATATAAAGTATTTATGCAAATAATAAATTTTTCGTACCGGTATTGCAAACTGTTATTCGCTTATGTGGAAACTCCAGTAGCGCGATAGAAACGTGTGATCGGGCATGTTAAACATCATGCCATATACCTAAGGTTAGTTGGAGTCAGGATAAATGATTTGCGTAGTTTCAAATATTGCAATAAATAATACCATATTATAAATGCAGAATATTCGATATAACACCCTTAATCTTGAATTATGCTTGTTTCGTTTAGATGCATACTAACTCAAAAATCTTAGAAAATAAGAAACTAAAAATAAATTATTGAAAATGATTCCACTTTGCATTGTAAAACTATCAAACGCATTAAAATGAAATCTGTCAATTCATGACAATATTAACTTAAGAATGAATCAACAGATCTGAATCTTGTATCTGAAGACATCACAGTCGAAAACCATTAGTTATTAGTTTGATATAATATATATCAGGGGTGGCCAACAAGTCCAATCGCCACGTCTCGAGCGGTCGATTGCGTCTGATGTTGAGTTAGAATATTCGATATAACACCCTTAATCTTGAATTATGCTTGTTTCGTTTAGATGCATACTAACTCAAAAATCTTAGAAAATAAGAAACTAAAAATAAATTATTGAAAATGATTCCACTTTGCATTGTAAAACTATCAAACGCATTAAAATGAAATCTGTCAATTCATGACAATATTAACTTAAGAATGAATCAACAGATCTGAATCTTGTATCTGAAGACATCACAGTCGAAAACCATTAGTTATTAGTTTGATATAATATATATCAGGGGTGGCCAACAAGTCCAATCGCCACGTCTCGAGCGGTCGATTGCGTCTGATGTTGAGTTAATTTTCTTGAAATAATAATTGTCTCGAACCAGTTGTTTGTTTTACACCAGGAAGAATACAGTACTTTACATGCACAAAATACAATATACACATACGGTATTTGAGTCTGGGCAAGCCCGATAAAGCATATTATGACGTTTCGAATGCACGTTTGACCGCTGCCAGGGTTTAAAAATGGAGTGCCGAGACTGAAAAACGATCCTACAATAACTTCCGCAGCATGCGAAAGTTATTGTCTCACTCTAACACTCTAAAAGTAGTGTGATGAATTTCATTCGCAATTTCTAATTCTAAGCAAGCGAAGAATCGCATTCAGAGTACTTCGAAATTGTAAATTAGATACTGAAGTTTGAGCAGTAATGTGCATTCATGGTTTGGAAATATTAATTTTTTGCTATTCAGATACATGGATACTTGGTAAGGTTTCTTGAGGAATTTTCAACACTTACGACTAAAAATTAGGCAGGCCATATACTTGAATGGTATGATTTGAATAAATTTTAAATAAATGATGAAACATTTACTTCGGGTGACTAGATTGACGGGTACTCGCATCCGAGAACCAAAAACTCGATTTGCAAACAAAACATTTTCCTTTTGCCTGGTCGCCTTGCCAAATTTAGCACGGATTAGTTTCGTGTCAAATGTTCATTTGTTCCCGAAACCCTGAATATACTTTCGTATCAAGTTTCTTGACGCGCAACGATGTCTGACTCCGACTGCGCTTTCGAACTAAAGTGCTCTCGGTTGCCTAATCCTAAATGAGTTTCAGGTCTAACAGACAAGATCTAGACCATGCACATGAAAAATAAGAGACTATTCATTTAAGTATTTGTATACTCGTAATAGATGACACACATTCATCATCTATATTTTGCGAAGTAATTGCAATTTAAAAAATAGAATGGGCTATTTTATCAGGTCAAACTGTAAGCTTAAAAGAGATCTAATAGCGATAATTTGAGAGTTTGAGTTTTGAAAAACCACATGACAAAAAGTCCGTAATATCATAAATTGGATTATCTGTTAAATGACTTGTTGCTGAAACTTACGAAGTCGTGAGTTAAACTTTAAACATATATAAATCAGCGGATTTTCAGTCAAACTTAATTTTTTTTTGCATCAGTCGATATTGGAATTTTGTATTCATATCTCAGAGGAATGGTTTCAATTAAATATTTGACCTTTAATCCCAAAATGGGAAATTTGTAATATTGCATTTGAATTGCAATTTTTAGTATATTCGGATAGATTTCAACATAAGAAAGCTAAAAATGTTATTATCGATAAAATTCCAAAAAATTGAATTTTAAATTTATTTTTTTATCGTTTTTTGGCCATAACTTTTGATATATTAAATGAAAACCAATGATGTTAATACCAATCAATGGTATTTCAGAGACGCATACAACAATACTTGATGAGATTGAATTCTTAGAAAACGAATTGAGAATTTTGAGGTTCGCAAATAAATGGGGTTAGAAAACTAATGATCGCATATCGAAGTTACTATAGGGTTTCATCGATTATCTCAATTTTGTGCGTTTGATGTCGCTTTTTTGTTGTCAAATATATTTGACTATAATAAGTGTATTACACGTGCTTTACATTACTTTTAGGCAAAAAAAAATCTAGAAATTATTGATTCATGATGGTCAGGATTTCGAAATCGCCATAAATATTAAGTTGTCTTGCGATAATTTATTGTATTAGCAACTAAAAGTATTTATATGAGCAAGTTAAAACTACACGTAGTATTTTGGTACTTCCCACCATTAAATCGAACCATCACCTGAATAATTCTTAATAATCCGTTCTTTAAAATAAAATATATTCTTTCAAATATAGTTGCCATTTCTAAAAAACTTTTACCATTACCAGAAACTTGTTCCAATAAATGCAATATTTCGTGTTCTGATGACCGTAAGTTGGATAATTATATAATTAAAACTGGAGAACAAAGGGAATGAGGGTGGAGTTGCCGTACATAAACGTGTCCTAATTCCTATGTTGCCACAAGTCTCAGCAACAAGTTCTACCGCATTTGTTTGATTAGGAATGCTGTCGCTAAAAGAATAACATGATTTTTTGAATGTGCCACAAGTCCAGTTTGTTAAAATGGATTTCGGAGCTAATTAGATCTTTTTAATCTGAATTTCAACTGTGCGTTCAATCTTCGATTTCAAGCAATATATTTATCTGAGTGGGAGGGGTCCAAATTAGCGCACAGTGTATAGGGCAGTGGTTCCCAAACTTTTTGAAAAAATTCCATGACGGACCCCTTGCATTTTTTTTAAATTTTAATGATTGTTGCAGCGTTAGATACAGCTCTGTAGTTAGTGAAATTGTGGTGGCATGAATTAAACTCACTCTCTCTCTCTCTGTGATAGCACAGGCCCACAGCTCTGTGACACCCCAATGGGGCAGGGCGATCGAAACAGATAGTAAGAATCAGTGTCCCCAGCAGTGATTGCGAAGCAGCAAAAAGCGACAAATGTGTATTTGGAAATTTAAGCACTTTATTACTTATGGATTTAAATCGGTAAGTATGTTGATAGGAGGTATTTGTCTGTCTGTCTTTCTGTATGTATGTATGTATGTATGTATGTATGTATGTATGTATGTATGTATGTATGTATGTATGTATGTATGTATGTATGTATGTATGTATGTATGTATGTATGTATGTATGTATGTATGTATGTATGTATGTATGTATGTGTGTGTGTGTGTGTGTGTGTGTGTGTGTGTGTGTGTCACGAAAGCGAGATTGAATCTGCTCAAGATTTTGCATGTGTATTTCTCATATCTTGTGACAGAAGCCTATTGATTTTGGGCGAATTATGTCGTTTAATTATCGAGTTATTAATTAATTAGTGATGGGACACAATGTGTCACTATGGAGTAAAAGCGCTGTTTTGGGGGATCCCCTAACTTTCGATCGATAAGTTTTCGGCCTCTGACCAATATTCTCGTTTTGTATTATCAAGCTATTAGCGGTCGCCGCGTTTGCGCATTGGTGAAAATAGCCTATAATGACGTTTTCTTGTAGCGTACTATTCAATAACTACGGGAATTCAAACTGTCTTTAAATTTTAATCTAATTGTGTTCAACTCGCAATTGCGTCCACCATAAAAGAACATTACTTTATACATAATAAGGCGACACCAAAAGACGCCCTTAAGACGCCCCCCCCCCAAAAAAAAAAAATCAGGCCAAAAATTTTTGTATACAAAAGCGACTTATTCGCCAGGATATACAGTATATTGATGAATCTAAAATTGATCAATGCTAGAATGTACAGAACTGATTGGTTTGAAAATCTTAATATTTAATGCCTAAAACAAAAATTAATCAGGTGTCTACAAAACTAATGATATTTGACATTTAACGAATTTTACAAGTAACGAATGGAACTTTGGCAACTTCATTCACAAGTTGTGGCAAACAGTGATCCATAGCCGGTCGTTGAAATAAAACTATTATTATGCAACTTAGTAAATATTAGTTGGCAGAACAAAAGTTAGTTTTTATATATGATCCACTGATATGATATATCGGCAAACCCTGAAAAGAAACTCAATTTCTAATAATATCACAAAAAGACTTTATTCTGTCGCTCTGGAGAGGATTATCATGCTCCATATATTCTCATGGCTGCCATAATTAGATAGTGAGATACTTTGCACACTTGAAGTGATATCCCCATCAATTCGAATAATTATGGGAAATTCTTGCCTAGTACGGTAAGGCGAGCAAGATCCTTATGCACAAACTGAATTCATCCTTTATTTGGATCGATAGCTAAAACCGACTTCTCATCGCTCCTGACTAAGCAGATACATACTATATATGACGTAATAGGTCCAGTCTGGCAGGTTTGCACACTTAGGGTGAAATTTACCATTACAGTATCCCAAGTTCCAGATATGTTTCTGGCGAATTATTGAAATACAATACGATAGCGAATTTTTATTCCTGTCAATCCTCAAATTCTTGTTAAAAGATAACAGGGTTTAAGAGGAGAAATCAAGATATATTATATATGTAGCCCCAACTTAACAAAAATAACTGCTGGATAGATAGCTGAGCCTAGAAACTGTCGACAAAAAACAAGAATCACACAAAGTTTCAGAATTTTTGCTCAAGGGATTCCTAAAGAAAATAAAGCCCAAGGCGTCTATTCAACTAGTGGAACAATTGCTTCAAAATTTTCAGTGGGTAAAAATTGTTGTCGTAGCTTGAATTATATTGTTTTTATTTAGTTCAACAAGCTACGAAAGCTCTACGGGATTATTTTTTTGTGCGTGGTGACGCTGTCAAAATTAAAAATTGCGCTCCTGGTGGCCGTTCGCGTTTGCGATCTGGTAGCCAGTCCAAGGTGGTAAGACTACGGTACTTGTAGTCCCATACCCGTACTACTTCATTTTAGACTGCGTGTCTATATTTTGAGCATATATCTCTTGTTTTATTTGCACTCTAAGAAAAGATGAACGTTGCAGATGCAGTACAAATAAGCGATAATTTAAATGCCTTTGTGGCGGGTTGAAGCGCGCGTGCTTCGTTTCGGAATTCGTATGATAAAGTTGGGGGTTAGTTAATGATTAATGCAATTTCTGCCGGCGTTCAAATATGCAATACAAGTTCGAACACGGTTGTAAATATATTAGGTCAAATAGTTGTAACTTGACTAGCTACTATTTTCTAAGTCGAGATTGCAGTGGACTGTGATAATCAAGCAAGACGACATAAAATGAAGGTGATATGTGCAGGAATGTCAAAATGTGGAACGAAAAGTATGCATTCTGCTTTAGAAGAACTCGGATTCGAAGTGCATGACTTCCCAGAAGCATATTACAATTTTGAATCGAAATATTTCAAATTCATTTCCAGAGGATGGACCTCTAGGGAGTTCCAAGTAATGTACAATAATGTCGATGCTGTGGTGGACGCTCCAACTTATTACTACTGGGAAGAATTGATGGAGGCTTTTCCGGAAGCAAAGGTTGGATATATTTACATTACTTTTGGTAATTCAGCATTTCATATACTTGTATGAACTTGTACTCGATGAAGTTGGTTAAAATTAAATGACGTTTTGTTTTTTCTGTTTGCAAAATTAGAAGGCAGGTGAAATTATATATAAGTAGACCTTCTTTCTGAATATCTTATGATTTCTAACTCCAACAAACAAGTTAAAAGCACAACATCAATGAAATCTAACTAAAAATTTATAATCTCTCATATGCGACACGTTGCAAACGTTGACAGTTTGGTCCAGCATATGTCAATCTTTGAAAAGGCAAGGCAAAAATGCTCTTGTCTATGACTATAGGTTCCTTTAAATAACCCATATTGTAACAAGAAGATTAAATTGGGTTCCACAACACTTTCTTGCAAAGATTTCTTCAAACAAGTCAGAAAGATTTGCTAATTTGCCTATTCAACAGGTAATACTAATGACTAGGGACGACGAAGAAATTTAGTTTGAAAGTATTAAAAAACAGCTGCTTTCAGTTAATGGATTGCATAGTTACTACTATCAACTTTTTTCGCCAACCTGGAGAAAATTTTGGAAATTTGCAATAAATTGTTGTAAGTAACATTAAATTCTTTTGAAAAACATTTTTCTCAATTTTTCATCAAGAAAATTTTTCTATCGAGGTTTGCCAAGATAAGCAGCTCTATTTTAAATAAGTTTTTTAATGGTCATTTCAAAAATGCATTGGTGCAATAAGCTAAGTTAGATAATCAGAATTTTCCATTTTTTAGTTATCAAATATAAAATGGGGAAAATAATAAACATTTGCTATAATGCAACATATTCACATAAAAAATGAGATACTACATTTTTAGTTTGCTAAACTAGCTCAAAACATTCCTCATTGCAATAAATTGAATTAACCACGAAAGTTGTATTGCATTTGCGACTTGAACATACAATATTCATTTTAATATTTAGGTAACCTTGCTTTTGGACGAGAACAATATAGTTGTATGTACTTTGGAGAGAAAGACCCCCCTAAACTCCCTTACTGGCTGGCGTATAAAAAGCACATTGCTCATGTAATTCAGGTACGTTGAATTCACAAACAGCTTATGGGGAAAATAGCAACATTTGGATGTTGCAAAATGTTTTAGTGTTATAGACTATTAACTTACTTTAATTAGATTAGTATCTATTAGATTTGCCTAAATCGCCTTGTAAACTTCTTAGTTGTTGCAGCACGCAAACAACTATTAATTAAATGCATTGGATAAAATATCAACTCTAGGTTTCAAATATAAAACAACAAAAAATATATTTCATGCGGTATTTAGAAAAAAACATACGAACAAACTAAAATGACCTAACTTAAAAAAATGAACCATATTTTATAATTCAGAGATGCCCAGGAGATCGTCTTCTAATTTACAACTGCAAAAGTGGATGGAAACCTCTGTGTAAATTTCTTGGAAAGGACGTACCAAGAAAGGATTTTCCCTGGATAAACAAAAACTGTGAATTGGCAAACATGCTTTGGGAAATGCCAATGTTCAAGAAAGCTAAAAATGAAATGTTAACAAATTCTACTCTGTTGTTTGCTGGTATTATATTCGCTGGATATTACTTTGTAAAATAAGGTTGGAATTAAATAAGCTGCATGTGCTATTAATACAAGAGAGCTACGCCCAAATATATGGACACGTCTGTTTGCAGTACAGTATGGTTTACCGTACCGTCAGATCACGGTGTACAAATATATTCACACTAAGCGATGCAGTACAGTCGGACACAAAATGGCGTCCGATTTCCGCAAAACGTTCGATGAAAAGCTACTTTCAGATTTTCCACTAGGTGTCCAAAAATGTATGTATGTATGTATGTATGTATGTATGTATGTATGTATGTATGTATGTATGTATGTATGTATGTGTGTGTGTGTGTGTGTGTGTGTGTGTGTGTGTGTCACGAAAGCGAGATTGAATCTGCTCAAGATTTTGCATGTGTATTTCTCATATCTTGTGACAGAAGCCTATTGATTTTGGGCGAATTATGTCGTTTAATTATCGAGTTATTAATTAATTAGTGATGGGACACAATGTGTCACTATGGAGTAAAAGCGCTGTTTTGGGGGATCCCCTAACTTTCGATCGATAAGTTTTCGGCCTCTGACCAATATTCTCGTTTTTGTATTATCAAGCTATTAGCGGTCGCCGCGTTTGCGCATTGGTGAAAATAGCCTATAATGACGTTTTCTTGTAGCGTACTATTCAATAACTACGGGAATTCAAACTGTCTTTAAATTTTAATCTAATTGTGTTCAACTCGCAATTGCGTCCACCATAAAAGAACATTACTTTATACATAATAAGGCGACACCAAAAGACGCCCTTAAGACGCCCCCCCCCCAAAAAAAAAAAATCAGGCCAAAAATTTTTGTATACAAAAGCGACTTATTCGCCAGGATATACAGTATATTGATGAATCTAAAATTGATCAATGCTAGAATGTACAGAACTGATTGGTTTGAAAATCTTAATATTTAATGCCTAAAACAAAAATTAATCAGGTGTCTACAAAACTAATGATATTTGACATTTAACGAATTTTACAAGTAACGAATGGAACTTTGGCAACTTCATTCACAAGTTGTGGCAAACAGTGATCCATAGCCGGTCGTTGAAATAAAACTATTATTATGCAACTTAGTAAATATTAGTTGGCAGAACAAAAGTTAGTTTTTATATATGATCCACTGATATGATATATCGGCAAACCCTGAAAAGAAACTCAATTTCTAATAATATCACAAAAAGACTTTATTCTGTCGCTCTGGAGAGGATTATCATGCTCCATATATTCTCATGGCTGCCATAATTAGATAGTGAGATACTTTGCACACTTGAAGTGATATCCCCATCAATTCGAATAATTATGGGAAATTCTTGCCTAGTACGGTAAGGCGAGCAAGATCCTTATGCACAAACTGAATTCATCCTTTATTTGGATCGATAGCTAAAACCGACTTCTCATCGCTCCTGACTAAGCAGATACATACTATATATGACGTAATAGGTCCAGTCTGCAGGTTTGCACACTTAGGGTGAAATTTACCATTACAGTATCCCAAGTTCCAGATATGTTTCTGGCGAATTATTGAAATACAATACGATAGCGAATTTTTATTCCTGTCAATCCTCAAATTCTTGTTAAAAGATAACAGGGTTTAAGAGGAGAAATCAAGATATATTATATATGTAGCCCCAACTTAACAAAAATAACTGCTGGATAGATAGCTGAGCCTAGAAACTGTCGACAAAAAACAAGAATCACACAAAGTTTCAGAATTTTTGCTCAAGGGATTCCTAAAGAAAATAAAGCCCAAGGCGTCTATTCAACTAGTGGAACAATTGCTTCAAAATTTTCAGTGGGTAAAAATTGTTGTCGTAGCTTGAATTATATTGTTTTTATTTAGTTCAACAAGCTACGAAAGCTCTACGGGATTATTTTTTGTGCGTGGTGACGCTGTCAAAATTAAAAATTGCGCTCCTGGTGGCCGTTCGCGTTTGCGATCTGGTAGCCAGTCCAAGGTGGTAAGACTACGGTACTTGTAGTCCCATACCCGTACTACTTCATTTTAGACTGCGTGTCTATATTTTGAGCATATATCTCTTGTTTTATTTGCACTCTAAGAAAAGATGAACGTTGCAGATGCAGTACAAATAAGCGATAATTTAAATGCCTTTGTGGCGGGTTGAAGCGCGCGTGCTTCGTTTCGGAATTCGTATGATAAAGTTGGGGGTTAGTTAATGATTAATGCAATTTCTGCCGGCGTTCAAATATGCAATACAAGTTCGAACACGGTTGTAAATATATTAGGTCAAATAGTTGTAACTTGACTAGCTACTATTTTCTAAGTCGAGATTGCAGTGGACTGTGATAATCAAGCAAGACGACATAAAATGAAGGTGATATGTGCAGGAATGTCAAAATGTGGAACGAAAAGTATGCATTCTGCTTTAGAAGAACTCGGATTCGAAGTGCATGACTTCCCAGAAGCATATTACAATTTTGAATCGAAATATTTCAAATTCATTTCCAGAGGATGGACCTCTAGGGAGTTCCAAGTAATGTACAATAATGTCGATGCTGTGGTGGACGCTCCAACTTATTACTACTGGGAAGAATTGATGGAGGCTTTTCCGGAAGCAAAGGTTGGATATATTTACATTACTTTTGGTAATTCAGCATTTCATATACTTGTATGAACTTGTACTCGATGAAGTTGGTTAAAATTAAATGACGTTTTGTTTTTTCTGTTTGCAAAATTAGAAGGCAGGTGAAATTATATATAAGTAGACCTTCTTTCTGAATATCTTATGATTTCTAACTCCAACAAACAAGTTAAAAGCACAACATCAATGAAATCTAACTAAAAATTTATAATCTCTCATATGCGACACGTTGCAAACGTTGACAGTTTGGTCCAGCATATGTCAATCTTTGAAAAGGCAAGGCAAAAATGCTCTTGTCTATGACTATAGGTTCCTTTAAATAACCCATATTGTAACAAGAAGATTAAATTGGGTTCCACAACACTTTCTTGCAAAGATTTCTTCAAACAAGTCAGAAAGATTTGCTAATTTGCCTATTCAACAGGTAATACTAATGACTAGGGACGACGAAGAAATTTAGTTTGAAAGTATTAAAAAACAGCTGCTTTCAGTTAATGGATTGCATAGTTACTACTATCAACTTTTTTCGCCAACCTGGAGAAAATTTTGGAAATTTGCAATAAATTGTTGTAAGTAACATTAAATTCTTTTGAAAAACATTTTTCTCAATTTTTCATCAAGAAAATTTTTTCTATCGAGGTTTGCCAAGATAAGCAGCTCTATTTTAAATAAGTTTTTTAATGGTCATTTCAAAAATGCATTGGTGCAATAAGCTAAGTTAGATAATCAGAATTTTCCATTTTTTAGTTATCAAATATAAAATGGGGAAAATAATAAACATTTGCTATAATGCAACATATTCACATAAAAAATGAGATACTACATTTTTAGTTTGCTAAACTAGCTCAAAACATTCCTCATTGCAATAAATTGAATTAACCACGAAAGTTGTATTGCATTTGCGACTTGAACATACAATATTCATTTTAATATTTAGGTAACCTTGCTTTTGGACGAGAACAATATAGTTGTATGTACTTTGGAGAGAAAGACCCCCCTAAACTCCCTTACTGGCTGGCGTATAAAAAGCACATTGCTCATGTAATTCAGGTACGTTGAATTCACAAACAGCTTATGGGGAAAATAGCAACATTTGGATGTTGCAAAATGTTTTAGTGTTATAGACTATTAACTTACTTTAATTAGATTAGTATCTATTAGATTTGCCTAAATCGCCTTGTAAACTTCTTAGTTGTTGCAGCACGCAAACAACTATTAATTAAATGCATTGGATAAAATATCAACTCTAGGTTTCAAATATAAAACAACAAAAAAATATATTTCATGCGGTATTTAGAAAAAAACATACGAACAAACTAAAATGACCTAACTTAAAAAAATGAACCATATTTTATAATTCAGAGATGCCCAGGAGATCGTCTTCTAATTTACAACTGCAAAAGTGGATGGAAACCTCTGTGTAAATTTCTTGGAAAGGACGTACCAAGAAAGGATTTTCCCTGGATAAACAAAAACTGTGAATTGGCAAACATGCTTTGGGAAATGCCAATGTTCAAGAAAGCTAAAAATGAAATGTTAACAAATTCTACTCTGTTGTTTGCTGGTATTATATTCGCTGGATATTACTTTGTAAAATAAGGTTGGAATTAAATAAGCTGCATGTGCTATTAATACAAGAGAGCTACGCCCAAATATATGGACACGTCTGTTTGCAGTACAGTATGGTTTACCGTACCGTCAGATCACGGTGTACAAATATATTCACACTAAGCGATGCAGTACAGTCGGACACAAAATGGCGTCCGATTTCCGCAAAACGTTCGATTAAAAGCTACTTTCAGATTTTCCACTAGGTGTCCAAAAAGGTCAAAGAACAAGAACAACAACAACAACATAATATTAAAACGATCGCTATGTACACTACGTGTCCAATAACTTGAAGGTGATTGTAATGTATACCTCCGTTGTTAAAACACGCTTTCCTATATTTCTTGAAACATATGACACATAAATAAAACGTAAATAAAACATATTGTTACATTATTTTTCAATATATTTCATGCAACACATATTATTCATCAAAGAAAAAAAACATATATATAAAGTATTTATGAAAATAATAAATTTTTCGTACCGGTATTGCAAACTGTTATTCGCTTATGTGGAAACTCCAGTAGCGCGATAGAAACGTGTGATCGGGCATGTTAAACATCATGCCATATACCTAAGGTTAGTTGGAGTCAGGATAAATGATTTGCGTAGTTTCAAATATTGCAATAAATAATACCATATTATAAATGCAGAATATTCGATATAACACCCTTAATCTTGAATTATGCTTGTTTCGTTTAGATGCATACTAACTCAAAAATCTTAGAAAATAAGAAACTAAAAATAAATTATTGAAAATGATTCCACTTTGCATTGTAAAACTATCAAACGCATTAAAATGAAATCTGTCAATTCATGACAATATTAACAATTCATGACAATATACACCTAGCATCGCAGTTTGTTATGTAATAAAATCAACAATTATAATATTTAGCTGATAGAATTCCCGGGGAATAGATAACAAGCACGGCTTTCAACCGTAAATATATACTACTACGTTTCAACAAGTAATTTGCAAATGATAGTGACTAATGAAGTTACTTGCTCATCTGTCATTGTATGAATGGCTACTTATGGCTAGTTTTGTTACACATTTCTAATTTTTTTGAACATGTTTGTTTGACTTTTGTATGAATTAAATTTAGAAATACGCTCGTCAACTGATCATAATGTTGTATTCCTTCAGAACTGAAATATTTTGTTGGTAAGAAGACAAATCGCTGAAGTTTGATTCTTTTCAATAAAGAAATAAAAACGCTGTCATTCATCTAAAAAACGTCTGTTTTCAGTGCCTAGTTTTCGTTTTGTGACATCTTTAAGCTTTCTTAATATACGTTTGATATCTAAAATACTGCAGTGTGTAATCATTATACCCATAACTATACATAAGATACCAGAATAATTCAATTGTTACGAAATAAACGTGCTTAAACTGTGATAATGATGTAACAATAGACGGTATCTAAAACTCAAAAGGTACCACATGAAGGGTTAAACTATTTCACTCAAGTTCGGCGGGCCATTTTAAATGGTCACGCGGGCCGTAATTGGCCCGTAGACTGCGGTTTAGAACCCCTCAGTGTGGAATCGCACCTCAAAATTAGGGGGGGTGTTTGAAATTTTAGGGGGGTGTTCACCCCCTATAGGGGGGTGTAGGGAAATCACTGATACTTGGTAAGGTTTCTTGAGGAATTTTCAACACTTACGACTAAAAATTAGGCAGGCCATATATTTGAATTGTTTGATTTGAATAAATTTTAAATAAATGATGAAACATTTACTCCGGGTGACTAGATTGACGGGTACTCGCATCCGAGAACCAAAAACCCGATTTGCAAAAAAAAAAACATCTTCCTTTTGTCTGGTCGCCTTGCCAAATTTAGCACGGATTAGTTTCGTGTCAAATGTTCATTTGTTCCCGAAACCCTGCAAGTTTCTTGACTGACTCCGACTGTCTGACTCCGACTGCGCTTTCGAACTAAAGTGCTCTCGGTTGCCTAATCCTAAATGAGTTTCACGTCTAACAGACAATATTAGACCATGCACATGAAAATATGAGACTATTCATTTAAGTATTTTTATATTCGTAATATATGACACACATTAAGAAAATAACAAAATGACAGTATCCATACTGAAAAGTATTTATTAGTGTTGCAGTGTATCTGATTTGTTCAGAACTAAAATCTTATCGTTTACAAAATTATATTTTGCCAAGTAATTGCAATTTAAAAAAATAGAATAGGATATTTTATTGAGGTGAAAGTGTAACCTGAAAAGAGATCTCACAGCAATTTTTTGAGAGTTGTTCATAGTGGAGTTTTGTATACCACATAACAAAATGTACATAATTTCATAAATTGGATTATCTGCTAATATTAAATTTCAATTAAATATTTGACCTTTCACCCCAAAATCGAAAATTTGTAATATTGCATTTGAATTGCAATTTTTAGTATATTCGAATAGATTTCAACATAAGGAAGCTAAAAATGTTATTATCGATAAAAATCGAAAAAATTGGATTATAAATTTAGTTTTTTTTATCGTTTTTTGATATATTTAATGAAAACCAATGATGTTAATACCAATCAATGGTATTTCAGTGACGCATACAACGATACTTGATGAGATTGAATTCTTAGAAAAGAAATTGAGAAATTTGAGGTTCGCAAATAAATGGGGTTAGAAAACTAATTATCGCATATCGAAGTTACTATAGGGTTTCATCGATTATCTCAAGTTTGTGCGTTCGATGTCGTTTTTTTGTTTTATTCAAATATATTTGACTACAATATGTGTATTACACGTGCTTTACATTACTTTAGGGACATATCGGAATTGCGATTTTGGAAGGGACATAGCCATTTTAGTAGGGACATAGCAAGCATATGGGACATAGCCATTTTATAACTACCCCAATTTGAATACCCGGCGTCGAAGACAGACTTGCACCAGCTGCGCAGTATTGTTTTTCATTGGATCGACTTTTTATTTTTTTCACGGTTTATTCCCAATCTCATACATTTCGTTGTAATCCAAACTAATTCTATTTGTTGTGAATATTTTTTTGTCTTTTAAGACTAATAAGTCACGTCAAATGCTTTATAATTTTCGAAAGTTCGATGCGCGTCTGATTCTGTCACTCGTCAAATGCAAACAAAAATTTTCAACTCAGCTTTTCATAAAGAGTATATTAGGCTGAAAACAAATTCGAAAATAATTATTGAAATTCGGAAGAATTTTAAAACAGCAAGCTAGTCTAAACTTTTTGTTTATTGATTCTTCACAACCCTCGACCAAATTGAAAAAATAATAATGTTTGCGTTGACAAGTATATGACAGTTATTTTTGAATTGGCCTATTAATCACAAACCCGAAATGCAAATTTATAAATTTTTCATCCCGTTCACCACAGAATAGCGAACAAAGAGAGTCAGCAACTTAAAGTCAATATCAAGTATTTCACAAAGAGGCCTGTCTGGCAATAACAAATTATATTTATTGTTTTTACGCTTTTATTGAAATTGCGAGCAATTAGACATCAGACGTATTAATGTTTTGAAATGCATAATATATATCTCACGAAGCACGCTGTTCACCGAAATTTAAATAAATACACTCCGAAGAACATGGAAGTAACAAGAAGCGTAGCTGCAGTTGTTAACATTTCCCTTCGAGCTTTTTTGATAATTGGCATATTCCACATCATGTCACTTAATTCACCGTTTTTATTAATGAACGGGAAAATTTTAGTGGGCATTGGTTTACCAAGAAATTCACACAGAGGCCTCCATCCGTTTTTGCAATTGTATATAAGAAGTCGATCTTTAGGACATTTCTAAATATAATATTAAAATAATGAAAATATTATTGCAACAATATGTTTAATGTTAAAATATTATTTAACTGAAAAAGACAAATTGTCCTTCTAGAATGGAAATACAGAGCATAGCACGTGGAATATATTAGCATATTTACTTAAGTTACTGGTGTTGTTATCTGCTTGAAAAAAAAACGATCGTGTCCACCATACATGTTTTAAACTATAGTTTTATTCATGCATGTGAAAGAAATTTTTTCTCATTTAAACTGTGGGCACTAGGTTGTATTCTTGAAGAGACTTTCGCTTTGTGTATTTTCCGGAGTCTTGGCAGCCTTGCGATAAACATTTAATTTGGCAGTAGTGCAGTAGATTCATATATGGTTGAATGATTTGTTTTTCTATCCAACATTTGATACTAATAATAATTAATTTCATGTAATATTTCCATGCTTTATAACACACAAGTTCTAATGAGCCAACTTGGCTGTCTAATCAATAATCTGGCATCCGTGAGTTTGCTCGCAGGTCGCCCTTTTATTTCTGTGATTTTAGTGAGCGCACCTCTGTCATTAAGGTCAGTAATTTTATTTATTTGTAAGTTCTATTTTTCGTGTTTGTTTTGTTTATTTATCTAATATTTGAAGTGATGGCCATATGAATAGATTAATTTGTGTGTATCTGCCGGAATAAACTGACCAACTGATGACCTGTACCCCAGTAGTCAACGTCACAGCAACGAACGTTGAATGGTCTAATGTGGATCGATCTTTTGAAGTGTTTTTGGTGTTAACCGCACATTGCATCGCACAATGGCACTCTATATTCGTAGTTGGTGATAGCACCAGTTATCACTTACGACCTATTTGCATGATCATTTTGAAAATTCTTATCGAATTACAAATATTTTTTTCAGAATTCAGGAATTGGAATTTAAAACGATCATTTCAACTTACGTGAAGTACATGAGCAATATGTTTTCTATAGGTCAGCTTGTAAGGAAGTGTCGGTGGAGCAACGTGGATAATATCAAAAATGGTTGGTGTTTTACATCCAAAAGCAAGCTTACCTACAAAAAAACACATTGAGATTTAGTATGAAGAGCATTATTTCAGTATGAAAATTAAATCCTTGTGTTATGAACAAGGTATGGATAAAAACGCTTTGTTTGTTTAATTGCTTTTGGTACATTGGGAGTAAACAAACTATTTGAATAATTTCAACTCATGTGGACAGTGTATAACTTTAGCATATAATTGTGCTATTAAACATGCATTATAAAGTTTATCTAATATATTTTTCAACATTTGTTGAATCCAGAAGATTTTATTTATCTATTTTTATGCTCTTACATGGATGTGTCGCAAAATTGAAGAACTTTCTCCAAGTTGACGAAAGAAATTGATAGTAGTAAGAATGCAACCCATTGAAAGAAAGTATTTGTTTTCTAATACTTTTGTACCAAATTTCATCATCATCTCTTTTCATCAATATAATCTTAATTGAAAATGACTGAGATTTAGTCAACACTTATTTTGTAAAAAAATAACATGGAAAGTTGAACATTTTTCTGGATTTCCAATGTAAGAAATGGTCTGGAGATAAGTTGAAATTGCTCTCTACATTCTAGCAATAAATCACAAGCAAAGTCGCTCTACCTTTGGGAAAGCAGATAAAGCCATTTTGCGAACTGAAGTTTCAAACCGTGATTCTTGTTTAGTTTACTATATCCTTGTTCATGCAACCTTTTTTTCCTAGTTTGCAAGACACTCTAAAATGTCAGTCGTCTTTCTAAATTCAAACTAAATTCTATCAATTCACTAAGGATGATAGATGAATCATTTTCACTTCTGTATTGAATTGTCTGAAATAGATAATTAGTAGAAGCGTGAAAAAAGTCAATTTGCTTAATTTCTTTAACATCACTTGCGATTCCTGTTCAGTACTCTCATTCCAAGTTGATAATTCTATGATAAAATATTTTATTTATGTTCAGATCGCTGATCTCGCGACTGACACTGATAACGCTACACCATTCCGTCCACATCGTTATTTACGAAACTTGATTAACGATCGAGCATGCTAGAATACCATTAAATCTCTATTTACAACTGACCTTGGCATCTGGAAAAGCTTCCATCAATTCGTCCCAGAAGTAATAGGTTGGAGCATCCACCACTGCATCAATATCTTTGTACATATGATGAAAGTCTTCTGAATTCCACCCTTCGGTTGCGCACTTTCTATAATGTTTTTCAAAATGAGTATATGCGTCTGGAAAGTCGTGTACCATATAACCAAGCTCTTCCAATGCAACGTGCATGGACTTTGTTCCACATTTTGACATTCCTGCGCAAATTATCTTCATTTTCTACTTTCAAAATATTGTCACCACTGAAAATGTTTATTTTATCATCACTATTGACAAAAAGCGAGTGGTTATAATAGTTTTAGTAGTTTTAGCGACATTTAATTGTACTAATTTTATTAGAAAAAGTGGGAATAAATGATAAAAGATAAGTATATATTACGTAACCTCGGAAATTTGTATTTTGCTTTATGATCAGCTCCTGTTTTAGAAAAAAAAAAAGAACATAAAAATCTAATTGAAACTAATTGCAAGTTTTGTTTCATTTTCCTGGTAAATCAGTATTAATTTGAAATTGTAATGATTCCGATGTTGAGTGTTTCGACAAAAACGAAGCTGATAAGTAGTAGGATATTTTCAGTCTGACGGTTGTTGATTGTGTAATTCAAAATGCCTGGGATACAGAATTACCTTGTATTGAAATTATTAATTACAGAAAGTATATTTCATTTTCTTTTAAATAATTGCGCATCCATCAAATCTTCTAATATTATAACATTCATTATATCCATGTTTTTTCACAATCTTTGTAATTTGACTCAAATATGGCATACTCCAACAATTTCTGTTTTCAACGTTCTATACTCAATCAAATATTTTATAACAAAACACCATCAATTTTTAATTGTTACTAAACCCTGTAATTTTCTTGTTAAACGCACTATCGTAGGTGCTAAACATCAAGATCGGTAATGCAAGCTGAGCTTAGTTAAGCGTGGGTAAATTTTAGATAGTTCGAAGTAAAATTGTCATATACTTTCAGGATTCCATGTTCTTCGGACCAGAATTCCTCTAAAGCAGAATGCATATTTTTCGATCCACGTTTATTCGTGCACATATCAACTTCATTTTTTGTCGTTTTACTCATACAGTCCACCGCAAGTAATCTCAACAAAGTATAGTAGCTAACCCAATTCAACTGTATCTAACTCAGGTTAAACACGATTCAACTCTTTGACCTAATATTTGTTTAAAATCGTGATTCAATATGTGAGTTAAATATTTGAACGTCAGCAGAAATTTAATCAATCATTAACAAACCCTCGACTTAATCATACTATTTCCGAGGCGAAGCACACGCGCTGTCGCCCGCACAAAGTCTTTTAAATTCTAGCTTATTGAATTTATCGATTATATGCCAAAATTTAAATCCATCTATCTGAATAAGTTTTTTGTTAGAAGTATCTCTCTAAGTCTAGAGCAGAGGTCGGCAACCTTTTGTCGCTCGCGGGCCAAAATTAAGGGTTGCAAGTCATTGGCGGGCCGCACATATTTATAGAGAGTCGAAAACCAAACGGATGATACTTTTTATAACAATCAGTGATACATCTCTCGAATAGAATATAGATTTATTTCTCCATTGCACTACATCTCAAAAAAATTCATTTGAATATTTTCGGCGCCATTGAACCCTTTGATCTTAGCGTCAACTTTTCTGCGTTTTGTTGCCATTCGTCTTATTCTAATTAAATTATAGGCTCATTAAATCAGTCATTTTGAATTATATACTTGTTAGGCTATTATATAATTAAGTATACACGTGTCTCACAATAAATTCTGTTACGTAAAGAATATAATCGTCAAAACAGCTGTTTTGTTACTATAATTCAGTGGAGCGTCGCGGGCCGGATTGCATTACTCTGTGGGCTCGATTCGGCCCGCGGGCCGTAGGTTGCCGACCCCTGGTTTAGAGCGCAAAGGAAGCATATTACTAATAAAGCTGACAAAAAAAAATCAGTAGTCATATGACCGAACTAGGCCTGTGTTTGGACATTTTACACATACATTGAGTGTAATACATTACACAGTGTAATTTTCATATTCATTCTATAACATTTAAAATCTGGTCAATTTTTATTTAGCTCAAATGAAGAGGGATCTATGTATTCGTCGTTTAAATCAGTGGTCGGCAACCACCGGGCCGCGGCTCACCGCCGTTCCGCGTAAAAGTTACTACCGGTCCGCAGAGAGGTGACACAATATCTGACTTCACAACCTATTCCAATGTCATTATGTCGCAATAATGCCGGGTCAATTGTTTCCTCTACGTCCGTATAAGAAAGTCTCACATCAGTCCGAATAATATCTCTTGAACAAAATGATTCTCACTAAGAACGTGACTACTCCACTACTGGCTCGTAGTTAACTGGTCATGCCTAGTCAGTGCAAATTCTATAATTCAGAATCAGGATAACCATAAAGTTATCACATCGGGTGAAAAAATTAGTCATATATGGCAAAACAAACATCAATCAATACCAAGTAGGGATTTGTTCAAAAAGAATTGTTTTAACACAAGTTGCTAAGCATAAATTAACCGGACAGTATTAACCGTAATAACGCCTTCATTTTATGAAAAAAATGTCAATACATGAAATCGAAATCCTCATCATGGCGTCATAACAGATTGGTTGAGGCGTCTTTGCATCAGAGGACTCTTACAATTAACATAGGCCAGGCTAGCGTGTCTCATCCGCCGTCGATGTAAGCATGTTCTTCATTATCGCAACCCACTCGTTTTGCCGAAGGCTGCCATCCCTTTAATTGATTTTATAGTAGGCTTGTGAGCTAATTTTCATGATTTTTCTTACTCAAAATGTCTCTTTGATATCTCGGATAAGCATTGCGGTTAAAATCTTATTACTTTTGTGGAGATACGAAAGTCGCGATAAATGTACGCAATAGAAGTAAAAGTCAAAATAGGAATTTTTACTTACATTTTCAAAATTATAATTCCGGCTGCGTGTACAGCTGCCCGAATGCAACGTTTTGGCGTAGTTTCGCGGCGATGCAAGGGGGATTTCAATAAAAAATACAAAAATACAGAAAAAATTTGATTTAAAACAAGCCCTTGTTTTAAAACACGATGTTTTTTTAGAATTGATAAAAAACAAAACCCTAATACCAAGACTAGAGACAGAAGGTATACAGGCAATGTTACTTTTCCCAGCATCTTATTAATGTGAAGCCTGGTTTTCAATATTGATAACTACAAAAACGAAATATCGAAGTAGGCTGGATGTAAGAAACACGTTACATATCTCCAATATGGTAACAGTTAATGGCCAGCCAACAAATACAGATCTCGCATTAAATAGCATCACATTCGTTTTTTAGTATATTGTCAACATAAATTTACTAACGCGTATAAATTTATTTATATAAGCGTAGTTCGTTTGTATGAAGATGGTCCGCCAAAATTTCGCCAGGCTTTACCGGTCCGTCACTTGAAAAAAAAGGTTGCCGACCACATGTTTAGATTAAAAGCATAGTGAAATTATGTGACTTTTGATGACTTTCAAATCAGCATTCAAGAGAATATTCTAATACCTTCTAGCGAAAACAACAATATTTAGCCACTAGAAAATTTCAAAGCAATTGTGACGTAGCTGAATAGATATGCTATTTTTCACCACCGCAATAACAACAAAATGAAGAAGAAAAATATCTAGATTACCAAAAACATATTAACAAGACGATCTATAGTTACACTTCATATCCCGTGAAATAGGCAAATGAAAAAACTCATTAATATCTCTCCTTATTACTAAAATGTACAATACAATATGATTTTGTGACAGTATTATATAATAGTTATGGATGTTCGATAATATCATAAATTCTTCGAATCGTGATATTAAAAACCTTTTTTGAATCTTCGTTTATTCAATATCCTACATAATTCTAATAACTAACTTTGTCCTATTTTTTTCAAATCAGCATGCTCAAATTTTTGTTTGTCATTAAAAACTTCGTTTCTGCTTATTTAAATTGTAAAGTTTTAAAAGTTCAACATATATTTATATGACTACTAAACAATTGAAAATTTAATCCTTTTACTTTACTTGCTATAAAATAATAGCCAGAAAATTTGTATCTCCCATTGAAAAATCATATTTATCGCCGAAACCTGTAGCCTAGTGGTTCCGTGTCTTTGAATATGGGGCCTGGAGTATTTTTTTTCTCCTAGTTTGAATAATTTTCGGAAACATTATGTCTACAGAAATAGTCATGAAATGACGTCTTCAGCATCGCATTTCATTTTGAGAGGAATTTCTTCGTAGTCCTTCGTTTTCGAAGAGTAAATACTGAAAAATTACTCTGTATTTGATATAGTTTACTAATAGCGTTTAGTTTAATATTATTAGTTTATTACATATTTAAAATGTAGTACCTATATGTTTTTATACATTACTTGATTGCATTAGCATACACAATCAATTATACACTGCAAACTGAAAACGATAAATTTAATCATTTTCCAAACTTATGCGATATGATGAGATTGTACCCACCATATGACGTTGTATTACCTTCTTATTGACTAGTTTATCACTTAATGAATTGTGGGAAATGGAATATTCATTACTTAGTAAAATTACCAATTATTTCGGCCACCCAAATCCTGAAAGCAAAATGTTTCTATTTGACACACATATAAACGACCCCAAACAAATATTTCTTTTTCATATTCATATGTTGAAAAATGTATTGGATACCACTTTAATATTGACAATTCAACACTCCAGTCAAACATTTAGTTGCTTTGAAGATAGTATAGTACTTTTGTGCAATACAATTCAGCTGGTCTTTATATTTAGGCTGTTCTGGTAGCACTGGGTTGGTGGTGTTATTCTTACCTATGTTGTACTAGGTAATAGTGCAGCATAATATTTTTCACATGATCTATTGCATAAACATGTCTCACCTGCGTTACATTATCACCTTGTTTACGTCATATATTCCACGTAATAAAAGAAGTTACGTTAGCGCACGAAGGAAACTACCTATATCTTCAATAATCAAAATAGTAAGCATAAATATAAGCTTTATTTATTTGAAAGCTCGTTTATGTGGTCAATATCTGTATTTCGCCAAGTGCATTAATTTTTGGTCAGGTATAAATATGGATTGTATATGAAGATACGTTCAAAGCTAAAAAGCTTTTGACTCAGTGAGTTACAATAGTTCTTCGTAAGTACCCACAAGCAATAGAATGTCAATTGCATAATCGAAATCAGGTAGTATGAGTTTGTCACGATGAGCTTCTGATTTTGTACACGGAATA